TTATAAGATACTATCTCATAATTATGACTTAGCTATCTCATAATTATGAGAAACTATCTCATAATTGTGAGATAGCTAAGTCATAATTATGAGAATAATAATGACTTAGCTATCTCATAATTATGACTTAGCTATCTCATAATTATGAGTATCGCATAATTATGATTTAGTTGTCTCATAATTATAAGATACTATCTCATAATTATGACTTAGCTATCTCATAATTATGAGAAACTATCTCATAATTGTGAGATAGCTAAGTCATAATTATGAGAATAATTATGACTTAGCTATCTCATAATTATGACTTAGCCATCTCATAATTATGAGATACCATCTCATAATTTTGACTCAGTATCTCATAATTATGAGATAGCTAAGTCATAATTATGAGATACAAGTTTTATTTATTTTTTATCAGGGTGGCGGAAATGTGCTTCCATACTTCTTGATGCCTCCGCTCACCCTGACCTGAGCCCCTCCCACCTCCTGGACTCGCACCTTTTCTCCCCCCACAGAGGGGGGCGTGTCGACGGCTCTTTAGGACCCAGTGGCTCCTGACAGGCAGGCAGGCAGGCAGGCAGCGGCTGGCTGGGCTCTGAAGCAGGCTGAAGCAGACAAAGGCAGTAGAGAGAGAGGAGAGGAGAGAGACGGCGTGCGGCTGATCCTGCAGCATCGACTCGCACTCACTTCCACTCCCCCTCACGCGCAGGTGAGTCTCACTCTTTTTTTTTTACCCTCTCTGCTCAGATTATGACTTTATGTCATTGTGTTTTACCGGCGAGTAAGCTGATGGGGTCTTGTTAAGTGTCTGGATGCGGGTCACTTGTTGGTTTCTTATAATTATTTTTGGTTTTGTTAGATTTTTAAAAGCAGGTGGGTTTGAGAGCACACCCCAACCCCTCCCCCTTTTTTTCTTTGCCTCACCCATCCTCAGCCATGTGGCTCCTCTAATCAGAAATAAGAGGAGGAACTTTTTAAAAATTAAATCTGAGTGTTTTAAATCTGTTGCATTGTTGGATGTGATGAATGATGAAGATTACAGAAGAGGCAGAATGTGCTGGTTAGAAGTGTGTGAGTGTGTGTGTGGTCATTGAAGTGTTGTGTGGGAGGCTCAGACAGGAACACAGAACCAGCCAAATATATCAGTGACACCATGCAGTGTTACTGCAGTGCTGCCTAATGGCCAGTCTGGAATAAATKTGTGTCAGTGTCTGCAGGTTATTTTTTATAAGAGCATCAATCAGTTACTTAAAGAAAAAAAAAAACAGGAGGCTAAATTGTGTGTTTGTAAATGTAGGTATAAGCTGAATTATGAGGCTGCACTTGCTGAACCTGAGCTGAAGTGAGCCGGCTGCAGCAGCAGTGATGGTGATGTCACTCTGAAGCCAGGCTCCCAGTTTGAGACAATGGACTGTCCTAGTTGATGCTTCCACTGGGGAAGGGTCACTGGTCGAGCTGCCTATTAGTGCGGCAGATGRGCCTGAAACCTGGCCTTTGTCAGCTGAGGAGCATCCCTTCCTCACAAGTCCCACCCCTGTGGCCAGAAAACACCCCAGTCAGCAGCTTCAGCCATGAGGTCCTACATGAGTGGAGCCACATGGGTGGGCAGTGACTGCATTTGTCCTTGTTTTTCTCTGAGGTTGTCTGTGTGCTTTTTAAATGGGTTATTTAGGACCTTTTAATGAGGGGGACAATGATGGATTATCGACATCAATGTCTTTTTATTGATTTAAGTCCGTTTAATGTGTTAAACTGAACCAGAAAAAAAAGAAATGCTTTTTTAAAAAATATATCTTGAATAATTTTTATAGGACCAAAAGGAGACAAGTTGAAAGAATTTTGAAGAACAATCGTTTTTAAGGTTTTTTTTGTCCAAAAGTTGTCAAAAATTGGGAAATTTAAAGTTTTGAAAATAAAAAAAGTTAAAATTTTTACTTTTTTCTTCCACCCAAATAATGATTCCATATATTCAAAGTAGAGAGACAAATTATTGGTAACTGACTTTAATCAACCAAATTTAACACTTTTAAAGCTCAGTATAGGTCATGTCTGTGCATAATAAAAAAGGAAAATGAAGCTGCAGCTGCTATTGTAGAATTTATTTCTGAGTGAAAATGCTTTTCTATCAGTATTTTTAAGTTTCTTTTAAGGGATATTAAATACACAGTTAAGTATTTCAGTCATTAGCTGTCCTGATTTCTAAAGATCTGCATCGACCATAGGAGGAAAAAAACAACCTCTCATCAATCGACTAGCTTTCATACATCGAGAAACTTAACTATAAAACAAAAAATAAAATCCACATTATTTTTTTATTTTATTTCAATGCAGTTCTTTAGGTATAGGTTTGGAGGAATGTTGAACAGTTTAATAACTCTGAGGAAAGCATAATGTTACTGGTTGGGTTTATTTTTTAGGGTCATCAAGATAGAAAATGTGACTTAAAGACACTAAATATGGAGAATGTTTCCTCAGATTTTACCAGAACCCTGTGATGTTAGGATATAATGCAGGAAGTTAGCTGTGCAAAGATTAAAACACTCTCTTGTTAAATTATTTTTTGAAGGATTCTTAATAAAAAAAAAGTGGTTAAATCAATGGAGCAGAGCATTGATCTTTGCACAGCTGAACTCCTCTTTAATGGGATGGGTGTGGATGTGCTCACAGGTTGTGGTCAACAGGTTGGAGTTACTTGGTTTCAYATCCTCCTCCCCAGACAGATTATTGGTTCATTTATTGAAGAGCAGCAGCATTTGCATCAAAGAAAGAAAGAACAGACTTTTGATTCAGATTTTGATACATTGAGGGGATGTTCAGAGAAAATTAATTTATTGCAACATTTTTGATCTCAAATATGTCACACTGTCCTGAGATCCCAGTGAATGTATTGTGACACCCAGTGGATTTATTTTGCATGTTTTATAAGCAAATTAATGACACACCGATAATTAAGAATTTGAGTTTGCCTATAAATAAAAGAAACTTTTTATCTGCATCATTTTGCTGAATGAAAATAAAGTCACAATGTAGTAAAGAGTTTTGAGGCTGTGCAGATGGAGTCATGCAAACAACTTGTTTTTTTAGTCTCTGTTTGACTTTGTTTTCAGTCACAGCTTTTTTTTTAATTTAAGCTCCTGAATTGCTATTTGTTTAGAGTTAGGAAAAATGACATGACATGTCTTTTTTTTACATTTATTTAAATTTTGTTTATAGTTTTAAAAACCCTGCTCTTCCACAAAAAAAGTATATCATACATAATTCTGGTACAAAAATAAATATCCAACAGTTATTTTATACTTAAAAAAAACATGACAAATCCACAACTTGTTGAAATAAAAATGATCATAAAATATTCATGTATGTTTTGAGATGCAGTGAAAACATGCTGTCTTCAAATACTAAATGTATCCCCTTCAAATAAGGAAAGGGTATCTAAAGTGTGTGTTTTACTTGTAGTAATATGAAGGATTGACTCTGTCACTTTATACCATTATTATCATCTTCTGAGATTTTACAAAAATTCATTGAAATATAACAGTTATCTTAAGCTTAGGTCTTTTTTTRTTTCCAGAAGCGTCTGATGAGACAGCTGTTAACAGGTGTGTGTAGGTGGATGCATCAGACACAGACATGACATTCTGATTTTACATTTGTTTGTATTCACTAATACTTTAACCATTTCCTGATGATTGTATCAAAAGCTTTGCCTTTGGAAAAACTCAATTGCCTATCTAATCTGTGAGGTGTCATTTTTATAAGCTTGAAGTTAAACTGACTGAGCTTGTAACATGTAACAACACCTATTTTAAAATGTTTGTGTATTGTCATTTAAATGGTTTATATAGCAGACATTTATTTAATGTGTAAAGTGAGGCATGACAGCTGCAGTTACAGGCTCAGGAAAATGCATGCTTCTATCTGGTAGTTGTCCTGTGTGGCAGGGGCGAAGCCAAGAGGGTCCGTAAATGTTTGGCCACCCCAACCTCCAGCAAAATTTTGACTTATTTATTTTTACACAGAATGTTCATTTCAATACATTTCTCAAATATGTAATTTGTGTGATGTAATTCTACATGATAGTGTGTTAGAAAATGAGAGTATGAATAAGAAACTCAATTAGATCCTCAGCAAATTGTCATAAGGGGGAAAAATATCATTTTCTGGGCCACCCCTCACCAGAGGTCTCAGTCTGGCTTCCCCTATAAAAACTGTCTCTTCTACTGCCAGGTAGTCTGCCATATTTGGTCTTTCAGAGGTCTATGGTAACTAAGTGCATTTACTTCATTAAGGTACTAAGTAAACTTTTTTTTAAGGATTTGTAATTTGACAGTTTTTTATTGTAACTTTTACTTTTATTTTGTAACATTTAAAACCTAAAAATGATACTTTTAAGTCTGTACCTTTTTTATTATTATTTTTAGTTCAACACCTAATTACAAATTTAAATATGACCTAAAAGTACTTTTACTTTCCTGATTATTGTGAGCAGTTTTTATGAGTATTTTAGTTCTTTTGCTGTTAGGTGAAATTCATTTTTACCAGTCATTTTCTCTTGAGGTATTTTTTACTTAGTCATTTCTTTCACACTCTTTATATACCTCTGATCTTTCATGATGCAGCAAATGTTTTCAGCTGATGAAAACTTCAGGTCATTCCCACACTTATGACTGCATATTTTTATTAGCTGCAGTGATTTAKATTTTTCCTGGAAGACTTTAGTGAGATGAGGACATATGTATTTTCAGCACTGATTGTACCATCTGGACAAGTTGCTCCTTTTATTGGCACCAGTGATGCTTCTGACCATTGTATGGGTGTCTGATACATGATCTACTGGTTTATGAAATAAAAATTAAAGGTTTTGTGGYTACAGAGCAGTTTGTTCATTTTAGAAAAGGAATGTATTTGGATCAAATGCTTCTTTTTCTTGAAAGCTCTTTAATCTATATTAGTGTAACTCTTGTACAATAATGTAGTTTAAATAGCAAAAAGTTGGTTTCTACTCAATATTTGGAGGGAAGTAACAAAAAAAAGTAATTTTAATATTTTTGGGGTAAACAACACTTTGACATCTGCTGTTTAATAGAATCWTATTGATGATGTTCATTCTTCTTCCAGACTCTCCAGAACAGTTCCCCCCCACATCACGCCATTCTCAAACTCCATCCCTGCCAAGCCATCATGGAGCCAGACTTCGGACATTTTGACGAAAGAGACAAGACGTCCCGCACCCCGCGGGGCGGCCGCATGAACGGACTTCCCAGCCCCACCCACAGCGCCCACTGCAGCTTCTACCGCACACGCACCCTGCAGGCCTTGACCAACGAGAAGAAAGCCAAAAAAGTGCGCTTCTACCGGAACGGGGACCGGTACTTCAAGGGCATCGTGTACGCTGTGGCCAATGACCGGTTTCGCACTTTCGACGCTCTTCTGGCGGACCTCACGCGCTCGCTCTCTGACCACATCAACCTGCCTCAGGGTGTCCGCTTCATCTTCACCATCGATGGGTCACAGAGGATCTCAACCTTGGAGGAGCTGGAGGAAGGTGAGGAAAGAGAAAATTTGAGTTCATTTGAAAGGATTTTGTTGCTCACATCATACTCACCTTTCTAACAGCCTAATTTCTACTTTAAGTGACTGAAATACACTTCAGAAGTAAAGACACCAGTTTTTCTCATCAGAAAGGATTTTAGGCATGGACATTCAGTGCTGTACCCTCAGATATTTTCAGTCATGGAGATGCAGGTGTCAAAATGCAACTCTTGGTCTCTAAAATGTATTATTATTACTAAACTGAAGAGCGTTCAAGAACTTTGTCTATTTTAGGAGAAAATGTTTCACACAAAAGGCTTTTGAACACGTTTGTTAGAAATTGAGAACACTTGCAAATGTTCCCTAACATGTTGGAGGCTCTGAAATGCCCTTCATCAACTGGTCACCAATTGCAACACAGCTCTAAGTTTTAGGATAATAGTCTTATCTATTTATTACCTTGCACTGTTTTGGTAGTGACATCATAATTATAGTTTATTCTCATGAATTTTGCTTACTCTAATGCAAAGGAATGATATTAATCAAAAGCTAAGCCAATATGGCCCTGTCCACTGAAAGAGAAATGACTGTTAATGGTTGTGTTTTATCATTAGAATTTAATTCTGCTGCCTAACAAAACAGACTTGTTATTCTGCAGACAGTTAATATAGCGTTAGGGTTGGGGCATTTTAGGAGTTCCAAACATTGAAATAACTCCCTGTTTAGGTGTAGAAAATCAAACCTCAACTTAAAAAAAAACAGTGATATCATWGCCAGAACTCTAATCTAACCCTTGACCTGAGGGCATCCTCGTCTTCTGCTGCTTTTACATGTACCATGGAAGCTCTATGCACATGTTCCATGCCTTGTTTCCTGATTTTGGTGTATCGTCACAGTGCCACATACAGGCCTGGCATAGCTACTGCAGTGTTTTGCATCAAGTTTGGTATTTCTGTGTGATTGAGACATTTCTACAAATTGTTCTGTTTACAAAGCTAGTCCTAGAAATAACAACATTCTTTTTTTTATTATATTATTAATCTACAATATATTTTATAAAAAGAACATTTTTAGTTGAACGATTTCTTGATCAATTGACTGACTCTGAGACCATCACASTCTTTAAATACTGGCTGGTTTAAATAAAATTGCAGAGACCTCATTTCTGAAGTGAAGAGGTTTATGGAAGAGTTTGTAGATTAATTGCAGCTTAATTGATCTGAAATGTGGCGATTATCTGTATCTGCCTGAGCTGTACAGGAAAGGTAGGTGTGTGTGTGTGTATGTGTGTTCTGGTGGCAGTCTTTTTATTCTTCCTCCTGTAAGATATAATTAATTGCTCAATCTCCTCTGCAGAGCAGTTTGGATCTTTTTAGTCTCTGCAGTAATTTCCCCTCATTTGGGTTAATCATTGCTGTCTGGATGCCAGTTTTGGGGAATKTTTTTTAAATTCATTGTTGTGCCCTGGCTGCGCTTTGACTTTTTACCTCAGACTCGAGACCAGCCCAACTAACAATAAAAACACAAACAAGCAGCTGAAAAAATATGGAAGTTTTGATAAAACACCTTATGAAAAACTTCTTTTCCCCCATTACCATTCATTGCAAATGGTTTAGACTTGTTTAAAAGAAAAGGATCATGAATGGGTAGAGACCATTTAGTTGCCCATGTGTCCTCATTGGTCTGTTAGCAAAATATCTGAAGAACAATTGTATGGATTTTAATGAAACTTTCACGAGGTAATCCCTGATGTACATCCACAACTGGACATTTGGAATTAACCCAATGCAAGATGGCTACCACAGCAAACCAACCTTAGCAAACACAAAAGTAAATACAGATTACATTTTAATAATCTAATAGTAAATCAAATTTACAGATATTTGGCTACAATTTGTTCTGTTAGTAGCTAATCGTCATCCTCAATATAYACTCTGAGCTCTAATGGATTGTTCATGATCTTTAAGACTTTTGGCATGAGCAAGGTGGAGTGAAAACATGCATTCCTCAAGAATAGCTTCACGACAATGTTCAGTATCCAAATGAATAAAGCCGTCATTCTTAGAGCAGACTGCACACTAAATATTTGTACGCAAATCCTTTAAAGCTGATGGCTGCTTGCTTTAAACTGACTAAAGGTTTGACAGGCGGTGATTTGTCTATGCTGTGGTCGACTGCTCTTACTGTCAGTCTTTGCTGGAAGGCAGGAATTATGGAGTTAATATCCACTCTGTGGTCTCTTGGGACCATCTTTACTCCTGCCAATCCCTTTTAAACACATAAACCTGAACAGACTGTAATGTTTACACTTTTATGGTCTAATTCACTGAAATAGTTGATGAAATAGTTTATTGTGTAGAAAGGCTTGTTGGCCAAAGTCAGCGAAACATCTAAGGGTTGTTCATCCTATTGTCTGAGATGGACAAACCTTAAAGGATCTGGAAGGTTACGCCTCTCAAAACTAGGAAAACCGTTGTGTAACTCTGTATTGGTTAACTTTTTTCACTTTCTATRGCTAAACCCAAACACCCTAAGTTAGTTTACGGGCACTAATGTCAAAGGTCAGATCTCAAAGCTGTTAACTGGTTAGTTTATGAACAGAAACAACGTTGTTTAATTCAAAACACAGCATTTTATTCATCTCTACTACTGTTGTAGTCATTGTCAGTTTTTATTTGGTGCCAAAATCTGGTTACAACAAGGAGTGATTTGATTGCCTTATAAATTACAGATTTCCTGCAATCATAGGTTTCATTTTTAGTCAGTCAATTTGCTTAAAGGGTCTAAAACAAAGTGTTCATCCTGCAGCAGCAGACCTTTTGATCCTGCATAATGATCCTTTCAGGAAATGGGAGTTTGTGACAGGAAACAGTTTATTTATTTATTTATTTTTTAAATCCCGTATCTGAATTCATCACTGCAATCTTCTGTAATGCCCCTCAAAAATGACCAGTTGAGACCCAACACTGATTTTAACCCAAGGGAAGCAGGAGGGTTCAATATGGCAAATTGTTGACTCATGAGTCCAGAATTCATGTGTTTAAATAWGAGTAGGGTCACTAAAATAGAGAATAAACAAAAATTAAGGTCATTCTGGGACCGTATGTAAAACACGCCAGTCTGTGGTCAGGATGGAGCATAAACAGCCAGGCATCATTAAAGGGGAAAAAATGCAAAATCACAATTTTAAACAAAACTTTAATATCAGATTTATGTGACTAAATCAAATTATTTGAAATTTTAAAAGAGATGGGTAAAAATAATAAATGGATATTTGAATTAAAGGATGTATAGTAGTTGTAGTTGCTGATGGTTTTCATATACAGGTTTTCTTATCTCAGATGTTAATTTTGCTAATTTTCAATGAACTGACCCCGTTTGTTGTTTTACCTCCTCAGGGGAAAGCTACGTTTGTGCCTCGGAGAACTTTTACAAGAAAGTCGACTACACAAAGAACGTGAACCCCAACTGGTCTGTGAACGTGAAGGCCTCGGCCAGCCAGAGGAACTTGCAGTCCTTGGCCTCCAAGKCTGCCAACGAGCCCCGGGAGTGCAAAGACTTTGTCCGGCCCAAGCTCGTCACAGTGATGCGCAGCGGCGTGAAGCCGCGCAAAGCCGTCCGCGTCCTGCTCAACAAGAAGACGGCGCACTCCTTCGAGCAGGTGCTSACCGACATCACGGAGGCCATCAAGCTGGAGAGCGGCGTTGTCAAACGAATTTACACGCTCGATGGCAAGCAGGTAAGACCCACCGTTGGTTGCTGCTCAGCTTTCAGGAGAAACGGGGGATTGTGTTAGCTGCTGTAAATCAGAATTCACTGGAACACGGGAGGTAATAATCAATGTTTGTTTCAGTTTGTGAGTGCCCTTTGACACGGGAATGAACAGAAAAGAGGTGCCATTATAGAGCTTGTAACCAAAGCTGCACAAAAGGAAAGTTTGTGGTCAGGACTGAGGATAGCTGTCCTTTCATTCAGGTTCATTTAGCCGTACATAGACATGTATCATAAAGATAAAAAGAAACCACCAATAGATAAAATGATTCAGCCCTAATGTTGACTCTGGTTCATGAGAACCACCTTTGTATGCAGCACTTCTCATTGTGAGCAGTCTTTATTCTGACTTTTGGTTTGGGGTGATGTTTGCTCCTAGTTTGTGGTTGAGGACATTGTTGTCCTCACCAGCCTTTGTAGCAGAGTTCAGTTTGAGTGTMTGTCATCTAAATGTTTCAAAGTCCTGGGAGGTTCCGTCTTTGCATTGCAGCTGTGAATAAGGCCGAGCCCTGCATTGTTACATTTCTTTAAAAAGGCACAAGCTGATCATGTATACGTGTGAGAAATCAGAGGAAATTTAAATGAACTTTAACGCCAGTAAGTCAACTTAAACAGGAAGTGAGTGACTAAAGTCAGGTTGGCTAAAAGTATAGTGTGAAGCATGTGCATTAGACTGAAGTCAGGTAAAAACTTAACTTTTGCTTTTAACTTCCTTAAATCCAATTCCTGATTTCTGTCAATCCTTGAGACGATCTGTCCCATTTGAGATGATGCATTAGTTGACTTGTTGTTGAAAGGTTKCAAGACGTCAATTTATTTTGTAAATCAGCCTTAAAGGAGACATACTGTATGATGCTTTTAAATCCTTTCTCACATTTAAATCATTCAGCTGCAGTCTATATAAAATGGAACTGCAATGCTTTGGTCTGAATTCCTCCTTATCATAACTCCACAAGCCTCTGTTCTGAGTSTCTCAGATCAACTCATTTTGAGGCTGTCTCTTTAAATCCGAACAAGGCACTTCACATCCTGCTCCCCTCCAGCTTCCAGAGYGATTTATTCTAGTTTGATAGAGGGGTTTATATAGCTGCGCAGCAACTTTTTAATTACAAATTAATTAAAAGCTGTCAGCCAGAGAAGACTTGTTCATCTAACCTTACATGTTGGAGCCAGAGTCTGACCCAGAGCCAGGGGAGAATGTAGACAACACAGTTGTAGTTAGTAAACCCAGATCTTATTTGGCAGTTCTGTTGCAAATAATTTAATGTAGTTGTTCAGAAAACATCATAAGATGGAGAAAACTGAACAAGTTGAAAAATAAGACCCAGATAGGATATAAAGATATCTACGCAGCACTGGGAGAAACTAAACCCAACTTTTCTGCACCTCTAGACTCGTAAGTCCACAACAAAATGTATTTAAATGGCTAAAAAAGTGGATTTTCACATATGTCCCATTTTTTTAAATATCCCTCTGGTTGGGAGTAAAACATGCCAAAGTTGTAGTTCTGGGTGTTTTTCTATAGAGTAGGAGGGTTTTGACTGAAATTATGTCCTTTGCATCTAAATACAGGTAAGAAGTTCAGCTTTTTGTCTCTACAGTTTTTAAATGTGACCYCTGGGATTGACTGGATGTTCTCTAGAACTAGCATTTTATCCAGAACAAGTATTTTCTTTGATCTACTTGTTCACATAATCTCCTGTGGTGAGTTTAGGGATGAGCACATAGATGTTTCTCTTTTAGCTGTTCTCAGGATTTGAACCCGCATCCTCAGGATTAAGATCCGTTAGGTTGTCTGTTTTTTATTTGACCTCAGTTTTTAAGGTCATGATCTTGTCTGGGAGGAAATATRGAGGTTGAATCAGACTTTAAAGCTCTCTCCCAGGAGTCGTTCTTAGAGGTTGTAATCACCTTAGGTCACATGATCGCCCCCTCGTCTCGCAGCCGTGTGCAGAAACGTGAGAAATGGGGTGCAGGTTCGTTGCGGCACCTTTTGTTTGCAGCGGCATGCTGCAGCTGCCTCAGCCTGTGGTTGGAGGCACAGAAGAGAAGCAGAATTGATGCTCGCCCCTCCCTGACTCCCGAACCTCCTCCTCCTTCCTCCCCGCTCCACTGCGATCGCTGCTGCTGCTGGTTGCTGGTTGCTAGGAGACCACATCCCAGGCACAAAGAGAGCCCAGCTGGTGTGGACCGGTCCRTCACAAACCACATCCTGCAGTGGGTGGAAGAGCTTACCATCAATGCAAGCCTTTAATGTTAAAAAAAAACATGTCATGTTTGTTACCAGGATAAATTCCCTCAATCAAGGTAAAACATTTTAGACTTTTTGTAGGTTTAAAAGCATTAATTTTGATCAGACTTAAGAGACACGCTGAGGAAAGTGCTTATCTAGATTTATAAAATGGCCACTCATCATCCTCTTTTTATCCATCCCTCCTTTCTCTGCTGGTGTTCTGAACCAAATCRTCTCCATTTTCCTCAAATGCCGGTGCGCTTCAGTTTAGTCAGGGAAGGGTGGGGCCACGAATCAGGCTTTTCTTTTTTACAAGCCTTTTTTCCCCACTGATGGGGAGTAATTATTCCCAGAGTCTATATAAAAAAAGTGCCAAATCTGCTGTTTTTGACTCTAAAGGCTACTTACCTAATTGCTGGAAGCCATTTTGTATTCATTGCTCATTGATGGGGGTGTCTGCAGGGAAGCTTATCTTGTTCTCATGAATGGCGCTTTTAAAATGGTTTTCATCTAATAGATCTAATGAAATGTGTCAAACCTGCGTGATGTGCTGAACCGAACAAAGCCTAATGGATTTGCAGATAACTCCGAAAAGCTGTGGGACAGAACCACACAGGAAATAAACTGGATGAAATCCTTCAGGTTGTTTCTGATCTAAGTTAATGTGGCTGCAAATTTTTCACTAAAAAGGAGACTTTTTAATGTCTTAACATGCAAGCATTAACAAGCAAGAAAAGCCTGCTTTGCTCTGTTATCAGGGCTTTTGCAGTCTGCCTGCTCCTCAGCGAGCTGCAGACGAGGTTGTCATGGCAATAAGCTCCGCTGTGATGGATTCAGTTTGTGACAATGACTGTAATACGCTGAGTGGGCTCTTTGCACAGTCTTACCTGCCCTGCCCCCTTATCTGTCAAGAACCCACTGCTTTCTTTCCGTCACACACACACTGACAGTGTTGGAGCAGAGGCTGATCTGGCTCACAGGGGTGTGGTCCATGTGATGAAGCATCGGACTTAGACATGGCAGCCGGGGTCTGAATCAGCCAGATTTCCTGCTTGGAAGACCACATCAACAAGTGAGCGCGAGCTGGGGGAGAGAGGAAGAGGAGGCACAGATTATTAGGACGAAGGCCACATCAGTCAGCCAGATGGAAGGCCTGTCTCTTTAGCGTTGGAGTCTGCTGGTGGTAGGGGGTAGTTAAAGCAGCACCAGCTGCTCACCATGACTGTGCAGATTTTACTCCCAAATTGTCTCATCTGTGCTCCAAATGCACCTGGGGCACCTTACCCCCCCCCCCCCCACACACACACACACACACTGCTGCTGCTGCTATTCAGAGGTCAGAGACGGGTCAGGTGAGCAACTGATGGAGCAAAACAAAAATCAGAGATACTTAAAGTTCATTTTAATTTAACATTCCTTGGAAATTAATATGCTGCCAGTTGACAGAGTTGTAAACTAAGATATTATGTTGTAAAATGACTTTTAAAGCCATTTTGAAACTAACATATGATTTGCAATATCTCACAGGAACTCTGTTCTGACTTTCTCTCAACTACTACCACACTACAGCTTTTAGCTCAGCGTCAGTAAAGTTCAGCCTTTCTCCATGGATTGGTTCTGGCAGCCGTCTTAAATTAAYTTTACTCCAAAGCAGTGTTGTATAAATTACCTCAAAGTGATACTTGAGTAAAAGTACAAGTATCTTATCATAAAAATACTTTGGTAAAAGTTAGTCTTCTCTAAAAATATTACTTGAGTAAAAGTCTTAAAGTATCTGATATTTTTTGTACTTAAGTATCAAAAGTAAATTTCTGACACAAAATCTACTTAAGTATTAAAAGTACTGAGTAAAAGTGAGCAGTTATATTTTCCAAAATGACTTTTATTGGGAGGAGACTTCTTCAAAAATATTGTTTTCTAACAGCGTACAGCTGTGATGGGTTGTGTACAAGATAATATGGTGTCAGAATGGTTTATATTTATACTTCTCATCAAACCACAATTAAATTCACTCTGTCCAGGAGACACTTTATCAGGATAGTTTTTTTAAAGTAATAACAACTTGGAATAAAATAGGAGTAACGACTTTTTACTTCTTACCTTTTTTAAAAATGTAGTGAGTAGAAAGTACAGAAAATTGTGTAAAAATGTAATGAGTAAAAGTAAAAAGTATGCTGAAATATAATTACTCAAGTAAAGTACAGATAACCAAAATTTCTACTTAAGTACAGTAACAAAGTATTTGTACTTAGTTACTTTACAACTCTGCTCCAAAGGTTGGATATTCAGTCAAAATTACTTTATAAAAGGTTTGATTTTAAATCTGTTAGTGGTTCATGAGATATTTTGCTAACAGACAAACAGGGTTATTGTGTTCTGCACAAAGTACGTGTGAGGTTGATACTCGGCTACTACCACACCAAACTTTAGCTGAATTTGTATAAAATTCAGTCGCAGCTATTTTTCGTTTGCAAAGATTACTATTTTGAATTGGATTGACTCAAAAAGTTAATTAATTGAAGATATTCGTTCAAGGATGCCCCCCACAAATTTTCTCATCCTAGATCTTTGGTCCTGAATTTCTTCTCGTAATCTTTAAGATGAAGGCACATATTTTTTATTCAKCTCTTTCTCATATCTGTAAAAACTCTCATGTTTGAAGAAATATTCCTCTCAGATATTGATTTGGATCTGTGGGTGTTTATTTTTCCCACAAATGTACTGCGTAAAGCCATCTTTTTCTCGACCTTTTTGTCTTTTTCTAGTTTCTTTCAATGCAGCTCAGGCTCCAAAATGCATCATTTTTAGTCGAGCCTCCCTGCTTCACCTCAGGTTTTATTTAAAAACGCTTTATTCTCAGATTTGTACCATCTCCAGACCTGTAGCCTGTAAAATATCAGATGCAAAGCATAAAACAAATATTGAATATCCTCTTTTTAAATGTATTAAATTTAGAGAAAGGAAGATGCAGAACTGCCTTTGGTTTCTATCAGATTATGAACGTATAAACCAGTTATATTCAGATGAACAATTTGCTGACTCATTGAAACATTCGAACATCAATCAAATGCTGACTCACTTAACTTCTAAGTTTATTGATGTCTCTCTACATTAACAKGAGATGCATTTCTGTCCATAAAATGAATCATTAGTTTCTGTTTATGTTGAAATTCAAACCAGCTGTCTGTAAAAACAAAAGCTGAAGACTTGCTGTAATTCTAAAATACAGTAGTTGTGGCATTTCATATTTCCCACCATTATATTCTATCTCTATTTACATATTTTTGGAGAAAAGCAGACATTTATTCTGTGATGTATGTTGAATAATTTCTAGGGTTGGACTGCTCTAATGTGTGCTCATATGTGCTCATTACTGCTGATTACAGTAAGAACACACCTCTGTTTGATGAAAGTCTGTATAATTCACATCTTGTTTTTGGATCACTGTTGCTGGTGGTGTTTTTTTATGGGGTCATGTGGTCCTGACAGCTGGTGAGGCACAGATTAAGGGTGGGCTTGGTGGCACAGAGCCAGTTTTCTGTAAAACCCCTCAGACCCCTGCGTTTGTTTAACAAATGGATACCTTACCCCTAATGTCTGCATTGCCCATGTAATAAAGCTACTTATTAACCATCCACCCATTTTCTTTGCCCACTTCTCGGGRAACTGGTTCTATCTCCAGCAGTCACTGTGCGAGACGTGGGGTACATCTTGTCACAGTTCATCACTGGGACATACAGAGACAACCAAGACAAACCATTCACACTCTCACCCACGCAGTTTGGTTAACCTTACATGCATGTTTTTGGTGTTGAAGGACATTGGTGTATGCAGAGAAACATGCACTCCACCCAGAAACTCCCTGGAACTCTCTCACTGACAGGTGACKGCTGTAATTACTGCTTTTGATCAGGTTTAGGTTGTCCACCCTGWCTGATTTGGGTGCCCACAACACTTGTGAAGTCAACCCAATTCAAGAAGACTATCAACCTCAGCAAACAAAAATGACTATGGCTCTGACAGTTTTTCAGGTATTRCGCTAATATTTGGTTTGGCAGCAGCTGGGCCATCCTAAACATACAGAAGACTTGGGCATGCAAGACCACAGACCTTGAAATGAACCTTTGGATACCTAACCTCCTGGCCAGATGCTATAATCTGTTGAAGTCTGATGCTSAAATGCTTTGAAGGTTTTTCTTTACGTTGTTTTTTTTTTTTTAGTTGCATAGGGAAGATTTGGATTTGAACCAACGCAGATGTTCAGTCGTGTTCCAACCCTTTTGTTTTGATGTTTTTGTAGGATTCCCTCTTATTTGTGAGATTAGAGAGAGTATTAGACAAACTCCTCTGTGTGAGACAATCAGAATCCTAATTTTGAGTAGAGATTTGGTTAATTAGGATTAGGGCAGCAGTCTGTTAGACAAACACACAATCCTTTAAATCAGATTAGATCTTAAAGCTATTAAACACGACTGTCTTATCCTGTTYGTTTCATCCCAGCTCATTTCTGTCTCCTTTCCTCCAGCTCTGCAGGGAAGGAGGCTTTTTTTAATGCTTCCGTCCTATGAATATCAGCCTCCCTTGTTGCCACACAACAGATAATCTTAAAGTGGTAGCATGTATCTAATCTAATAATGAAAGCACAAAGTAACCCAAGAGTGCAGCAAGAGAATTGGCCTTGGCAGGTGGGGAAAAACAATTGGTGTTTGATCCYTGGAGTCAAAACATGTCTGTACCTCCTCAGAGATCTGACCGTCCGGTCTGTATCGGGGGAGTTTTGCGGGTTCTGCGTACAGCTGTTAGGATGCCACGCCAACAAGTCACCACCGCACACTTTTAGCTTGTCTAGCAGGATCGAGATTCATCACGGCAGCTGGTGGGGTGGAGTGTTCTCAAATTATCAGCAGCAGCTCATAGTTTGGATGCGCATCACAAAGGGGACCGTGGTGCATCTCGACCACCCTGGCCCACATCCAAACGCAGGCCGAGGACCTCGAGCTCAGCTGAGGGCTTCAGTTACATCAGGAAAGCAATAAAGAGGAGTTTATAACTTCATGAGAGAAAGCTGAATTTCATCAGTTTTTAAAAGGCAAGCAGGAAATCTGACTTGAGATGCTCAATAAAGAATAAAGCTGCTTTTGGACTGAATGGTTTTAACAGGCGTGTCGGGTTTTATAATGGAGACTGGAGGAGGAGGTGTGTCCCAAAGACATCTGTCCACTAAGTAGCCATATTGTTTCGGCAGCTGCTGAGTGAATAGATTCAGGAAGGAAGTCAAGTCATTTCAACATTACAGTAAAGGTGTAGCTTTATCTGCTTTTGTTCAGGCGCTTTGTACTTTTTTTCTCTTTGTTTTGTTCCTTGAGTCAGGAGTAGCTAAAGGCATGTGAGCAAGTAAAGTACAATAACCTGCTGAAAAATGAAGCTTCAGTGGGCAAGCCTTTTGGTTCATGAATTCCTGCACACAAACAGATGTTTCTGTATSGGTTTTAATGAAGAAATGCAAAATCCACTTGAATTTTGTTGTGTACTTTGAGTCTGTAGAAGTGCAGACGTTTTCTTTTTATTTGGTCCCTCCTGATGCTGTGTAGATATCTTTATGTTCTGTTCAGGTCATAATTTTCAACCCGTTCAGTTTTCTCTATTTTCTATTTTTTAACTGTAACGTCACAGTATTTGCTGTGGAACAACAAAAAAAGGTCAGTTTGCCAATTTTGCAAATCTGTGGTTCTGCAGATTTGTTGTCTTCATTCTCCTCTGGGTCAGACTCTAGCTCCAACATGTAAGGCTGGATGGACAAGTCTTCTCTTGWTGATGTCCAAAAGTTTCTGCGCCACTAGGTAAAATCTCTGCTATAGACTACGAAAATGGTCGCACTGCGTGGCGCGAACAATAGGAGTGAGACCTGGAGAGGGGGCGAGGTGTRAAGTGTCTCGTTTGGATTTAAAGAGACAGCACCAAAACGAGTTGCTCTGACCTACCTCAGAACAGGGGGTTGAGGAGTTACAGTCAGGAGGAATTCAGACCAAAAGCATTCCAGTTCCACTTTTCCAAAWCCCAAGTGAATGAATTAGTTTAAGTGTGAAAGATTTACATGCAAATCCCCTTTTTAAGTGATTAGTTTCTGAATTTGAAAAGATTTTGAATGATTAGAATGAAATTACCTCCCACAAAACACATTTAGCTGTAAATAATAACCTGCATTACTTTAAAAAATACAGTGTGAATGTTTAATGCTAAAAGATTGTCGCCAATTATTAAAAAAAAAAAGCTAAACCGTAGCTGAAAATGGCACAAAGAGCACATTTGCTGAAATARGCAGGTGCTGATGTGAGTTTCAAACCTTGAATATTTTGTGCTCTGCCTTCCTAGGTGACCTGCCTCCAAGATTTCTTTGGCGATGATGATGTCTTCATTGCATGCGGACCAGAAAAATTTCGCTACGCACAGGATGACTTCTCACTGGATGAGAATGGTGAGTGTTCRTGGAATCGTGCAAGATTTAACAAGCTCAGCTTCTTGATAGCTGCTATGCAGATCCCAGAGTTGGTATAAATTTCTCCGTAATAAATACGGTAAGCCAAATGTTGTAACCGAGTAAAAATACTGCTTTTCTCACAGCTTGCACATTATCTTACAAAGCCAGGTGAGAAGGGGAAAATGACCTTTGCGTGCAGGAGGCTGGCAAAGAAGCTGAGAGACGGAGGTAAAGAAGTGTTATCAGCAGCTGGCAGCAGGGACAGAAAGAGRCTGAAGTCGAAAAGCCATTAATCTGTCCGGTGACAGGTTTAGGCCAACTGATCTGCTGCTGCTGATACTGCTGAGAAATCAAGGAGAGAAAATGTAAAAAGGAAAAAAAAATGTCCTCGAAACAGCATGCAGGGTTTTTAATCTAACGTCTGCACGTCTCCTCCACCCTTCCACTGACTTTATAATGATCCGTGTCCTTTTCCCGGTCTGCACACTCCCCTGTGGACCCGAGCTAAATTGTTTCATTTAGTCTCTTACCGCGGGGCTGATGCCAGCTGAAATGACTGAGAGTCCCAAGCATCAGTCGGCCTCAGTGGAGCTGGGGAGCGAGGATTGTCTGGAAATGCATCACATGGACATTATATTGGGTCAGCTGAGGACCGACAGCACTCATCAATCTGGATAGGCAAACAAGTCCCAACCCTCCTCACAAAGATGGCAATTTTTTGTAGTGAAAACCTAAAATAAGCGCATAATAAGATGTATTCCTTTGTTCCCAGTTTTCCATCCTCTCTTGTCTTTTTATACTTGGGTAGGGGGAAGAGCCCACGTGCACCTGCAGCTCAGAAACCTTGCAGGATTCTACCAGACTCCAGGCTATCTCTGAGAGGACTGGCCTTGCCTGTCTGCCCAGAAAGGTCCAGCGTTGGCACACTTAAAAAAAAACAAAAGCAGATGAATTTACATCTGTATCCAGTAGTGTGTGAAGGTTAAGAGAGAGAAGATGGATGTGGTGCGATCCCAGGAGACAGAAGGAYGACAGATACTATGATTAGCATCAAAGGGTGGGAGAGAGGAGGGGGAGGGAAGAGAGCCTGACAGTACAAACAGAAGGGGAGATGCAGAAGGGAGGAGCAGTAGTGTCTGGAGTCTGTCTACTTGTATTAATACAGTGACCCAGAATTGACAATCAGAGACGGAGGGAAAAAAAAAATCTGCTTTTTGATCATCCGAACTGGGCCTCGCAACAAAATGCGAACACACGCCGTCGTGTTTTTCTGTTTAAAGAAAAGTGTTGTGATGGTTTTCTCTCCTCACTGCCTCTGTCCACAGAATGCAGGCTGATGAAAGGTGCTAAAGCCCAGCGCGGGTCGGTGAAGAGTCCCGGTCCGATCAAACGCAGCAAATCTCCTGAGTCGAGTGAGTAACTCAAAAACAAGCTCCTGACGCTGACCACGCCTTGTTAGGAAGCAAAATAATATAAAAAAAAAACATTAAATATGACTGAGAAGCAACTCACCTTTGACCTTTAACTTGTCGGGGGGATGGGAGTGGATCAATAATGTATGTTAGATTTACATCCAATGAGAAATGCTTTGAGCTGATTCCTTTCTGACACGTTTGACATCTCATGTCTGCTAGATTTTATTCACCATCTAAACAGGATTGTTTCAGAGCAACAATCCAAGGTTCAGTGTGTCGATGTTGTAGCTGCTCTTTCAAAAAGGGCAGAGGAAAAAAGCATGAATAAATCATGAAAAGTAAACAAAGACCACAGGAACATCTCTCAGCTGTTTGTCAGTTTGCGTTTAATAAGAAAACACGAGGCGGTGGAGCCACTGGGCCTCAGCTGCTGGCTAATGCTTTGGTTTTTGTCAACATTTATAACAAACAGTTCAGTAAGTGATTTTTATTTATGTATTTTTAGTTTAACACTATGAGTGAATGCACAGATATTTATAAAACTTTCTATTAAGAACTGATTTCAAATCAAGACACTGGACACAACAGGGCCATCGGTCTGTCCTGCTGATTCACATTAAATGTAAATTAAGAGATTTTTTAAAAAGTGGTAGTTTTGAAGTGATCTTCTGTGGAAAGGTTAACTCTGTAGCTATTTAAACAAAGAAAAGTTGGTATTTTCCTCCAAACTGGGTTGTCTCCAACAGGTAAGATATTCATAATCTTTCCACCAAACACCAATTCAAAAGATCTGAACATGAAACTAAAAGAAAAAAGTCCTCTTTAACTGCTCAGTTCATTTCTGTGCACAAAATCCCAGGGCAACTTAAGATGACCAGTTCAGTGGTCTGCTGCTCCTCTTATTTATTCTTAAATATTTTCTGATCACCTGGTTTTTAAGGTAGCAGATGGTCAGTCAACACGCAGAGAAGAYGGGGCTTTAAGTCGCTCTGTGGAACCCAACGGGTCAGGGGGGAGGTGAGAGGTTAGAAAAGGCATATTGGTCACATGCGTTAACCTTTTTACTTCTCTGTTGAACAAACGGAGAAATAATCAATTAAAATAAATTGAGATTGTATTTGTTTGACCAGTTTCTACATTGACCTGTCAATTTAAATGTCAAAACACGACATGATCTGTAAAATGGTCTTCATAAACAATATGCAAGTATTGCTCTTACTCAATAAATAATATATATTATATCTAAAACAGTGAAAATGATTTTGACACACCTGTTCTAAATGCCACAAAGGGCCACATGAGTTTCGTGTTTAAATTCAACTAAACAGAAAACATCACATTCCTTGTCTCATTACATCTAAGCAGTACTAACCACCCAGTTTATTTTAACCTTGAGGCTCTGGCAGCCAGGCCATGTAAAATGCTGTGGCGTGCCACATTTGGCCCGCAGGCCTCAAGTTTGACACGTATTTAAGTCAGCCAACCCCTAAAAAATTAAAATAATTTCAGTTATTTAGTACTTTTTATTATAACTTCACATTGAAAAAGTTCCATAAAAGACAAAAGTTTAGACATTTGGTTCCTCTGCAGCTGAGTGTTTACTCTCTAAAAAATGTTTTGACTTTTTGTTGAGTCTGTCAAACTTTAAGGATTCCAAATGCTTTGAGATTTGTCTGTTTTTAGGTGAGTTGTTCAGCTTTTAGTGGGTTGAAACGGCCTGTTTTTGCTTCTTTCATAAAGCAGTGTTTAAAGGAAGCCAGCAGAGTAACAGTGAAGCTTTATTCAACATTCGTTTGGCTTAAACTTAATGCCGGCCATCTGGTTTATAGTCTTCAAACCTTCTCTTTTTTTATCTCTAATAAACAAAACTGCTTTAAAGCACTCGACACACACAGYTACATCACCTCCCGCTGCTCCTAAACATAAACACAATGTTCCACACAGAGAGGGGAACCCTTAGCAACGAGGCAGGACGCAGAACGGGTGAATAAAATGTCACCTAACAAAACCGACGACTCATCGGCTTCGTGACGCGGCCGTGGCTCTGGACCCACTCTCTCCTGAGCAACACAAAGCTGWCTTCTGCACGCAGCCTAATCTGTACTCCCCTCTTAAACGCTCCTTCTCTTTGTCCTCTCTGAGTGCTCCCTTGCTCTCTTGCAGCCAACGGGACCGGCTCCAGCAGCCAGATCTCCACCCCGATGAAACATTCCCCCACCTCCACCCCGACCAGTCCAGGCCTAAACAAGCCGAAGGTACCGCTCTATTATTTTAAAAAAAAATCCTGTTTAATTTTCTCCAACTGCCTGCAGATTCATGGAGAACTGGTTTTGTTCCCCAGGATCTGGATCTGCCCTTATCTCTGGAAGACGAGGATTCTCTTGGTGAATCCATGTAGACGTTCCCTCCAGCAGTCAGCCTTCTTCAACCAGAAGAGTTTTTTTTTCTTACCTCTGCTGTTTTCCACCTTCACAGTGCCAGCTGTTGAAGAGAACCACTCTGTCTCTGTTTTTTTTTTTTTTAAGAAAAAAACCTTGGCCACCATTTGCTGCTTGAGAATAACAAACAGCTTTTTTGAAATTCTGTTTAGATCACATCTTTAACAATCAGCTCTAACATTCACCTTTATATTCAGGAGGATGGCCACGAACAGGAAGTTATTGTGTAAAGGAACCCCCTTCCCTTTGTTTGCACTTTGAATTTAATTTATCACGAGTTTCAAGCAGCAAATGGATATTTTTTGAGCAGTTTTAGACGATTTTGTATCACTTATTTGTGATGTTCCTTCACATCCTCTCTGTCTCTTCACTCAACAGCTTTGTTGTCAGGGGAAGTCTTTTGAAGCCAGATTTGAGTCTTTTTCAACCTGCTGTAAATACTGTGTACAGCCATCCACCACTACCCTTTCTGTCCATTGCTGTGCTTCCATAACATCACTGTCACCTACCATTTACTCCGCTTTCTACATGATACAGGGTATGGTCAAAATATAAGAAAACTCCAAATCCAAGCCTCCCAGTGAAGTGTAGGATGCAGCCCTTGGTTGCAGCAGTTTATAAATTCACACTTTTTAACCTCTTTAACTATGGATGTTTTTTAAATCCACCTATTGAAAATGACCGGCGTTCAAATAGACAAATCAAATTGAAGGAAATGATGCAGAGGCAAAGCACCCTACGTGTTTCTGGTGAGGTTTTCTTCTGTTTTGACCCTCTACATAAACATGGTTTACTTGTTCACAAACTGCAGTGCATGATGTTGAATTGTCATAAAATGTTTGTCATTAAAAAAACTAAAGAGGAAATAAAGGACCTAACAGTAAATAAGAACAACCAAAGGAAAAACCAATAAGTCCATTCTGTAACAAATCAAACATTAGGTTTGAAGGTTATATTGAGCGAGCAGCTCCCATTTACACCAGTTTATTGTTCCATATTTCTGAAAAGAAACAAGCTGAGGTGAGAAGTCTTGGAGCGATCGTTTACCAGTATCATTGTCCTTCAATGTTTTCTTCTTATTGAGCAAATGACAACTTGAGATGACAAATTTCAAAGCCGTGGTTAGAAGTTTCAAAACTCTTAAAAGGATCAAAAGCATGGTGAGAAGGGTCAAAGCCAAAGTCAGTTTTTGACAAAGGATTACATAAGAGACATTTGTCATTTTTATATTTAAAATCCCAGAGGAGGCACACATGGCGTTCATTGCATGTCACATTTACAGTCAACAGATTTAATCATCTTTATCCAAACACGTCTGTGTGGAATCATCCAGAGCACGACCTTCTGGAGTGGTTAAATAGAACTGGACGACTTCTCTGGTTACCCGCCTCAWRTAAAAGCCTGAGGAAGTCGTCGTCGTCCATGATTTCTGTTTAACTACAACGGATTATCAGCTGTTTCAAACATYTGTGGGATTTCTCCTCTTTTTGCATGGCTCTGCATAGATCAGCGATACGAGAGGGCGATGAAAGCATATTTGTCTATGTGTGAGTTTTAAATTTTTATATAAAAAATATTAATTTATAATGAAAGGTACTTGGATTGCTTTTTTTTCCCCAGTCATCACGACTCATCGTGTGACTAAAGTGAAATCTTTTGAAGGGAGCTTACTCGGATTTTTTAAATTTTTTTTTTAGGGAATCAAGCCTGAGAAATGTCAGATATGGGGTGATTCTGAAGCACAAAGCAGGGATCCACTAATGCATCGCAGCAACAGCTATATCACTGTCAAAATGTCCCAACTTTTTCAACGTGTAACCACAGTTTCTGATTATAAAATGCTGCAACATGTAGCATCTTTTTAAATGAAGAGCTATGCATTTTGGATTCAAGAGTGGTTGAATGTTTCTTTTCTGTAGGTATGGCCTTTTGTAAACCCAGCAGTTTGTTTAGAACGGAGCCTCCATTAAAACTTTCATATCTTTGTGATGAATGGTCTGTCTGAAAGTTGTGTTTTTTTAGGAGTGATGCAAGCATCAGCTTGGGGGCGGGGGGGACTTTTGAGCTCAGCTACTTTAAAGCTGAGGACAAACCATTACAAACTACTTGGTGCTGTTAAGTCCACCTTTTACCTGCAGGGAGCGCTGTAACACCAGCACAACAGCTATTAATATCAGCAGCAGGGATGCCTCACTTTAGCCACCATTTTGTACAGAACAAAGAAATCACTTCTCTYTAATCACTATTCTAAAACCTTACATACTAATCCAGTGTTTTGTTTTGTTTTTTTTTACAGCTTTTTACATATAAAACAAAATGTTGGTTGTCGAGTAAACCAGTCTGCCACCATTAAAGATGGACAGTGTGATTCATCACCATCAATGGTGCCTTTTTTCCTTTTTTTTTAAATAACTGTCTTTTTGATAAATGAAAAGCGGTGTCAAAGGCTTGTTCTTTAACAGCTCTTTGTAATAACCTTTTTAATGTCTTAAACGAGAAGGCCTCTTAACACACTTTGTTTTGTAGAAACACAGGATGCTTTATGATGTACATACGCTCTTCCTGTTTTGCCTTTCTGATCGAATGAATGACTTTTTTTTTCCCCTCTACCTGAAATTTACAGTGTCCTTTTTAGTGGTATTTTGCAATGTTACTGTGGCTTGTTTCAGTGCTTCATTCAGTGTATTAACTGGTATCCTTTTGCAAATAAAGCGGTTGTATTTCACCCGTTTGATCCTGATTTTATTACATTAACCACCTAAACAACATCACATGATCTGTTTGATTCATATGTTTCACTTGTTGAAAGAGCAAAAAGAAAATGTGAGCCAGTGATATAATTAGCACAAAAAGTCTTATTATAGCAGGCATCTGATTGGCTGCACCTGCGTGTACCAGAAGCTCAAAACAAGCTGATTCGWCAAAACTTTCATGCGCACAACCCTCATACCCAGCTGYACTGCTCATCCCACAAATACAGTACATGTTCCTTACAAATGTGACTCATTTTAAAAGGGAAAATAAGACTTGCCAAAAGTATAAGGTTTATTAAGGATCATTGTAACAAAAAAACCATAAATATATTTTCTGATAAGTTTAAATTGTAAAAATTTTCTAAGCTGGTAAGAGGTTTTAATTTTGCCTCATTATGAACTTTATAGCCTAGTGTTGGGACTAATAACACATCAAATACCTTTTTATAGTAGATGTATTCTGTTTTCCTTTAAATGGGACCAGATTTACCTTTTAAATATAAAACTCAAAGGAGATAAAGTTATAAACTCTGAAGAATATCAACAACTCTAGTTTTAACAGACTTTTTCACAAATCAATGTTACAGCAGCATGAGTCGCCCCCTGCTGGTTTGATGGGATATCAGTTTAAGCTTTGGTTAGCATTGGTTTTAAATTTAGATCTGAAAGTTGTGTTCATATTTTTAAACAAAGACCCCCAGGACCAGTATCCTGCATATTTTAGTTGTTTTAGTCTGATTTCACTTTTCCAATCAGGTGAAATAGAGAAACACTGAAAACATGCAGGATTGTACACATGAGAACAAGTAGCAAAAAAAATAATAATAATAATAATAAAAATACATGTTGGATACTCATTCCTTTTAAAAAGTTTTTTTTATTTAATCCATAAATTAAAACCATTTAAATCCATTTAAGGTTTTTTGATGGTTTAATAGTTTTAAACATTTCTGACAATTTAATGACCATATCTGGGTTTTTATTTTTTTTACTTAAATTGCGGAATATAAAGCTTATATTATAACAATGTTTAATACTTCTTTGAATTCTAAAATTTTAGTTAACATGACATAAGAGGGTTTTTTTTTATCAGTGGTTAATTACGACCTGGTCATGGATAAAACAAAGACCCCAATCATCATACTCCCTCCACCATACTTCATACCGTTAGGTTTTAACCTTTAAAGTTAGGAAGCTGTGCCTAATTTTAACACATTTATGTTTAAAGRTTCAGCCTTTTCCTTATGAGTTCACATACTTTAATCTAAAATCCACTCTTTTTAATCTCCTCCCAGTTATCAGGATCAGCTCCTTTTATTTTTAAGCACATACACTGTGTTTTCAGCTTGAAGTGTGTACAGCGAAAACATAAATAAAATAGTTTTTGTTGATAAAGCAGTGTGAATCAGATGTGTGCTTAAGCTTTTTTCTGTGCTTAGAAAAATCTCCTCCTTACAGTTTAAAAAAAACTTTAGGTGATGAAGGAGATACAATTTTTTTTATATAAGGCAAACATTACAAAGACATTAGCAGTCATGGATGGGTTGTCCTGCCATCTGCTGGCCACATTCTGCAAATTCACATCAAGGAAAATAAAAGAAATGAGTCATCAAATCATAAACTGTAAAAAAAACCATGTCTTTTGGAAAATATTTAACTCACCCACAGACTATTGAACATCAGCTTTTGTTTCCAAGTTGAAAGTTCAAACCGTCAACTTTACAAGTTACAAGTTATTACTAACTAAAACTAGTTTGTTGGTCCAATAAATTAATACTAAACACAATAATAACTTGTTTGTTTTTATCAGCAATACTCAAAAGTTGATGTTTGCCCTCATGGTAGTGCTGAGTGTAGTCATTAGAGCTCATGAACACTTAATATATTTGTATATTTGGCTGAGTTGGGCTGTAAACTGGCAGAAGTTGCGCTGTGAGGCAATAAGATTCTAAAATAAATTTAAAAAACTTCTGACTAGTTTGGGTTTTGATATTAACGGTTTCTAGCTGGATCTGAAAAGGTGGTACACAAAAAGAATCAATGCAATGATGTCATATAATAAATAAGTTATAATGCAATGTACGATACCTTGTGATACAATAGAGTTTTATACAATGTAATATGTTACTATACATTGTGATACATTGTAAGGTGATATTTAATACTTTATACAAGTTTCTGTATGTTCTGATATAACACATTACAAAGCAGTGCAGTGCATTGTGATGCATTGCACTGCTTTGTGTTTCAATATGTGATCTGCTGTGTTGCGTTGTTATTTGATACATGTTACAGTGCAGTAAGTTGCATTGAAATATGTTATAAACTTAAACAATGACATAAATTGTGATACATTATGAACTGACTTGTTAAATATGTCATATATTAATGTTGTGATTTATTATATTAAAATGTGATATGTTACAGTACAATACAATATACATTAATGTTTCCTCAGGAACAGAATACAGTGATTCTATGCAAGATGAATGGACTGAGTTACACTTCCTCTTGTATTAATGTTTTGAATTTCTGTAAATTTAAAGGGCTGCTTTATGAATTGTGTCCCACACTAAAACAGATTCCTCAAAATCTGTTGTACACAAGCACAAAAACATCTTGATAAGTCTGGTGTACAGTTTTTTCTTTCAGAACAGCACACACTTTGTCTTTTGTTCAGGCACCTTGAACAAAGTCAACTTTAGATGTTTTATCAGGATCTTCAACATTTTATTGACATTCCATCACAGGGAAACTGTTATCCCAATGAAACTGTAAAGCCTTTTATCTTCCCAAATTTATTTTTAGCTATCTCCAGCCTGGTTTAACTGAACTACAGCGGATTAGTTTAGATAAAAACAGGCAGCTATCCCTTTAAAACTGAAATTAGCTTGAGAAGAATTTGTCAGTGTGAGGGAGTCAAAGTGCTCCTGTTCTCTGTAAGAGTTGAGCTCTAACAACTGAACGCACGCCAGATTGTTTGATTCCCACAACTCTCTGAGGATGTAGCTGATTAGGGACATTAATTCAGCAAGGCAGACCACTGGTGCAAAAATACTACAAAGACTGGGTTAACACAGACAGACAAGACTAAACTGTGAGCACATTTTATTGACAGAAGTTTCCCTCAATTTGGGGGCTTTGTTTAAGGAAAACAAAAAGAAGGAAGGACAGGTTTTGACTCGTTTCACCTCAGGGAAGAGGGGGGCTTAGTGTGAAACTGAAGGTGCTCAGTTTCAGCCGCCCACCTTTAACAGAAAATCAGCCTTTATGCAACACCGGCTCCAGGGATGTTCTCGTCAGACCAGTTTTCAGGCTCTGAGTTTGGGAGGAAGTCCTCAGAGCAGAGTATTAAATCTTAGTTTGGTTCTGAGCAGAGGCGGACCATTCTCTTTCTGTTCTGTTCTGTGCTGTGGATCCTCTAACTGGAAGGGACCCCTTGAGAGGACCCTCCGAATGTGCTCGAGCTCATCTCCACACACATCTCATCAGGTGAGTACTGCTTTATAAGACTCCCTTCACTTTGATTTTACACTATTTTGACCACAAACAGCAGCTTTTCTGGTATTTTACTCCCTTGACCTTTATCTGATCTTTAGCTGAGCAAGTTGTTCCTGCCCTCTGTGTTTGTTTATTGTTGTGCAATTGTCTAAGGATAAAATCAACCCAAACCTCAAAGTATTGTGACTCTATAGTTAGAAACATTCTTGTGTTGCACCACGTCCAGTAAATGCAGGGAATGTTATTTGCCATCAGAATAAATGGATCTGACAATGAATCAGGTCAGAACCAAACACCTTACAGACATTTGCCACATAGGTCACTGTAAAAAAAGAAGAAAAAAACTGACAGCAGAAGAGTTTATATAACTAAGACATAAATCTACAACCTGACAGGTTGATCGATGGCTCTCTCACCACTCAGGTATTTAGGTAAAACAGTATCGCCGACAGCTGATAGGGTCCAGAGTGTGGAAATAAACAGAAATCAGGGTGTGGCTCTGAGCTGTGCACAAAGACTGGCAGCAGGTGTGTGGGAGGGGCCRGGACAGGCAGGTACAAGATCAGACACTTCCTTATTATATAACAGAGACTAATAAGTTGTCCTACTGCTGCTGTCTCAGAGGTATTGTCTGCATCTGTGTTTTTATTCTACCCCTCACTGTTTTATACAAACTTACATTTCTTTACAGCTCTTTGCCAGGAAGTTCTGTGTGGACGTCGACATTTTTTTAAAGTGTTTTCTTGTTTATCACAAAGCTTTCGTGTTTGTTGCTTTTAGTCGACGTCGTTCTGTTTACTCTGCTCTGTTAATATCAAGTTCTGACCTGAAATAAGACTTGTAGGATCTAGATAAACTCTTAACAGGTCAGAATGGTGAGACTAAAAGTTTCAGAGATCTTATTGTTTGTTCAGTTTTTCTCTTTGAGGCAACAATCCAAACGTGACTCTTTTCAACACAAGCCTGTTTACATCCACACAGAATCAGGGAAGGATAAAGTTTGTTGTCTTTTCATTTCTTTCTAAAAAGGTTGAAGCTGCTGGTTCAGAAAGTCATAACAAGTCACTTGCTTTAATAAAATCCAGATTATTTCCTGTTTTATTGCTGTGTGTCACCTAAAATGTATGTTTCTTTTAAGTTATTTTCTTCTGAATTCCTGCAGTACAATCATAAAGTTATCTGAGCTTTTAGTTTCTTTACAGTTGAGACACAAAAGTAAATAAATTCAGTCTTTACTGCTGTACTCAGGTGTAAGGGCGAGTAGCTGCTTAAGTTTTCATAAGGCACATAGTTGAGATGCTGTGCTGCTTTAATGGCCTAATTGTTAGATCTGATATTTCATTTCCTCGGCCTCCCCTTTAATGTTTGAAAAAAAAACCTAACTCCACCCATTTGAGATCTAAACCCTCTTTAAACACCCACCTGTGGTGCAAAATATTCACTGGATAATTTTAGTAAAAATGGTTTTAGGACTTGAATCTCATAAACAACTCTTTCATCTTTCATTGTCTGCTTATCCGTAATGTCAAACTCCTCAGGATTTGGGGTCAAAGGTCAGTCTGCAGTGATCTGAAATAATAAAAAAAAGCAGTATAGTGTGTTTTTTTTAACTAAAATGATCAGAACATCCACATCAGACTGAACTCTCCTGTCCTCTGCAGCTGTGAGGCCTCAGCATCTCCACCATGTTCTCCTCTGTGGTCCCGTACAAAAACCAGCACTACGCTGAGCTGAGGAGGAACTGCATCAAGGCCAAGACACTGTTTGAAGATCCAGAGTTCCCAGCCACCAACTCCTCTCTGTTTTACAGTAAATCGCCCCCAGGCAGGGTGGAGTGGAAACGACCGGGGGTAAGGCATGAACAGAAAGTGGTGGTCCATCACCAGCGCCCGCCAGGGACTGAAACCACCAAATATTTAACTGAATATGATGATTTACTGGAGACGTGTGTGCCGTTTTGTTACAGGAGATTTCTAATGCACCTCAGCTGTTTGTTGAAGGGATCAGCTCCCAAGACCTGAACCAGGGGATTGTAGGAAACTGCTGGTTTGTTGCAGCCTGCTCCTGTTTGGCTTTAAAGCCAAACCTCTGGAAGAAAGTAAGTTTGCTTGTCCTCTTGTTCTTAACATAAAAAAGCAGACAGACGTGTCAGCTTGTATGTTAGCAAAAATCACAGTTTTCCTCTGTGTGTGTTTGCTGTGTTAGCAAAATATCTCACAAACCACTTGATAGGTTTTAACAAAACTCTTAGAAAGTAATCGTTACACATTTACAACTAAATAACTTTTGGAGTCACCCCAGTTCAAGCTTATTAACCATAGCCAGCAGAAGAATGCAGGGTTGCCAGATGGGCATGTCCCATTCCAGATTGAAGCATTTTGAACCAAACATGCTCAATGAGGGTGCAGCTCTCTCTCGTTGGGTGTAAAATGAGATGTTGTTTGGCAAATATGGGCTTTGGAAGGAGGGTGGTGTATGGGGAGCCCACTGCCTTGGTGGTCAGATCAATAAATGAATAAAATAAAAATGTTTGTGTGTTTTTGGTGAATAAAAAAGCCAAAAACATATATGATGTTATTGTATAGACCCTAAAGCTACTTATCATTAGAATATTTTAATTCTAAACTCTGGAATGAAAGGTGGCGATAAGCATTCTTGGAGATAAGCATTCTTTCTGGAACTATTTGACAAGTTATCAGCTGAGATGGAATAGTGTTTTCAGAAATGCTGCCAAGTTTCACAATAAAGGTACAAGTCATTGTGAAAACATTTGTCCTGTTCCACGAGTCATTGCAGAAAAAGGAGGAGGGCTGCATGTAAAAATGAAACCAACATTTCTTTAAAGGAATGCATATCACTCTACTTGTTTTCTGTACTTGTTTGGGTCATGTGGTCCACATATTTGTGTATTCACATTAATCACAAATCACCCTACTTTAATAATGTATATCTACTTACCAGATGCATGTATTCAGGGTTATAGTGTGAGGGAATTCATGCTTTGGATTTTCTTTATTCTTTTAATTTACTGATACATGGTGGAACTCTTTTTTTTTTTTTTTTTCACGTTTTCAGGTCATTCCTGACTGGAAGGACCAGGAGTGGGATCCAAACCACCCTGAGAACTACGCCGGCATCTTCCACTTTCAGTTCTGGATCTTTGGGAAGTGGACGGATGTGGTGGTAGACGACCGGCTGCCCACCATCAACGGGGAGCTCATATACTGCCACTCCAAAAGTAGCAACGAGTTCTGGAGCGCTCTGCTGGAGAAGGCCTACGCCAAGTCAGTAAAACTACACGAACGAGTCCCATATTCAGCATGTTCCAATGGAATACTATAACTTGTGAATTGTTTGAAGTATACTTGTGTTCCACTATTATTACACCTGCATGAGAAAGAGTGAGTGCATGTACAACATTAGATGTACATCTACAGCTGACAACTTTTGAGTTGAATTCCAACACATAAAGAGTTATAAATCAGTGAATATTACACAGACTGAGCTGAAATTTGATGAGGTAGTAGCTGAGATTAATCCCTAAAGCCTACTTCAAGCTCTGTCACATCCCACAAGACTGCTCAGTTTTGCATGAGCTTCTGCAAAACCCTGGCATCCATTGCAAATGGATTCATGTCTAAGCTACAGTGTTGAAACATTTCCAACTCAGGCTCTCAGGCTGCTACCAGTCCCTGGAGGGGGGAAACACCGGGGACGCTGTGGTGGATTTCAGCGGAGCCGTGTCTGAAGCCATCGACCTGGAGTCTGAGGCTTTCTATAAGGACCAGCAAAAACAAGACAAGCTGTTTGAAGACTTGCTCAAAGTGTACGATCGAGGAGGAATCATCAGCTGCTCCATAAAGGTCAGTGCTGTTTTCTGCATCTTTCATTCTTTTTTTAACCATTTAGAAACAGATTAAATGTTGTTTTGGTTTTAATTTGACAGGCAGAGCCACATGAAATTGAGAACAGGATGGCGAACGGGCTGGTGAAAGGCCACGCGTACTCAGTCACTGCAGTGAAGCGAGTGCGTTTGGGTCATGGGCTGATGGCCTACTTTAAAAATGAAACCATTCCTCTCATTCGGATGAGGAACCCCTGGGGCAAGACTGAGTGGAAAGGAGCGTGGAGTGACAGGTCAGGGGGTGCACAAGGTTTTCAGTACCTCACGTAACGAACGGGTTTGCATTAAAGAGGCATCACACTCCACACATCACACTCCTCGGGCAACGACGAGTCTGCACGCTTTCACATTGTCCATGAGTCTAAATGCGCAACTTAGATTTATTGAACATAACCTGCTGGAGTTTAATCTATAATCTAAAAATTAAAGTTGATGCCAAGAACAACTAGATTACAATGAAGTGCCACGTGTAAAATAAAATGTTAAAAAATGTGACTTTTCTTTATTTAGCTCACTTTCTGAGTGCACAGTTCTATTTGAAAAGTTTACCACTGACCGTTTATTCAGGGATGCACCGATATGAAAATTTCAGCCGATATCAAAATCCGATATAGTTATTGCTGTTATGGCTGATAACTGATATTTACAGATATGACACAAACACACAAATTATATTATACATATACACACAAACACACTTGGGTCTTTTTTAGATACCGTAAATAAACTACCAAACCTCTGACATGGCTCTACTTCAGTTATTCCTGGCTACGCAGCATCACTATCACCATCATGATCAAACAGAGACCACTCAACCAACCATCTCCCCTCCCAAAAACAGAAACATAAAGCTAAAAAGTGGGAAATCAATCTYGGACACTAATATCGGTCCGGTTTTAAATATTGGACCGATATCGATACCTATATTCTATGACCAATATCAGCCAATACTGATATTAATGCCGATATATCGTGCATCTCTAGTTTATTGTCACTGTTCTTCATGTTGATTAAATGTTAAATAATATATTTAAATCTTAAATCTAAATGTGTAGATCTTAAATGTTGATATTCACATTTAATTATTTCAGAATGGAACGCAACCTTAATTCTGTTTATTGCACATTAGCTTTTAGAACCACACTTCCAAAAAAATCTGAACTGTGTCAAAATAAAATCATCAGCTCTTTCATTCATTTTATTTTTTTACGATAAAAGTGATCAACTTTAAAACTTTAACATAAGCCATAAATCTTGTTACCAAACTTGTGTTTTTAGCTCTGAGGAATGGGCGAAGGTTGGTGACACAGAGAGGGGCAACCTCGGCCTCACCGTCGAGGACGACGGAGAGTTCTGGTACGTTTGTGTAAAACACGCAAATACATGTTGCCTCGTCCTTCTCAGCGACGCATCGTCTGTGTGACGTCTGCAGGATGGCGTTCACGGACTGGTGCAAGTTCTTCACGAACACAGACRTCTGCCGTATCATCAACACCTCGGTCGTCAGCGTCCACAAGACCTGGGACGAGGTCGTGCTCTTCGGGAGCTGGACCAAAAACGCTGAGCCGCTGTTAAACCGCTGCGGTGGATGTGGCAAYCACAGGCAGACCTTCCTGCAGAACCCTCAGGTGCTGCTGGACACTTTCTGTCATCACGTTATTGGTCTACCTGTATGCTAACTCCTCTTTGACCGTTTCCTCCCCTCACAGTACCTGTTTGACGTGACGAAGGAGTCTGATGAGGTGCTGATCTCCTTGCAGCAGAAAGACATGAAGATCCACAGAAAATACGGTCAAGGAGAAAACCTAACCATCGGCTTCAGCATCTACAGAGTAAAACCTGAATTATTATTAAAAAACCAGCTGCAKCAGTGAGGCAGGCATAGTTCATAGCAGAATGTGTAGAACTTGTGCGGGAGGAATCTTGGAATCTGTGTCCCTCTATGCCAGTTTTTTTCTCGAGTCCCGAACTTTTGCTTTAATTTTATAACTAATAACTTTAAAATACAATTCCCTATTCAAGTTTTTTTTTGTCAACCCCTCGATCAAACTAGAATGAATCGATCTGGAAGCTGGAGGGGGGCGGAGCATGAAGTGCCTCATTTGGATTTAAAGAGACAGCCTCAAAACGAGTTGATCTGAGACACAGCTTAGAAAAGATGTAAAAGAGGGGCTTGTGGAGTTACAATAAGGAGGAATTCAGACCAAAGATTACAGTTCCACTTTATGTAGACCCCAAATGGATGATTTACATTCAAAGACATTCAGATTTCTCTCTCTGGATTGTGCAGCCAGATCAAATTGCTTTGTTCTTGTGAAGTGTTTGTTCAGTTGTTATTTATAACACAGAAAAAAACAAGAGCTATTAGGCATGCTTAGGCTTTCCTTTGAAATACAACGCTGAGAACTCAGAAAACCCTTAAGTGATATCATTGGATAACACAAAGATGTAGATGAAACAAAACAGATACAGTATGTTAAAAAACAACAACTGAGCTGCAAAATAAATTTGATTGTTTATAAATARGTTTTATCATTGCGCTGTGATCAGATTCTCTCATTGAAACAAAACCTCATGAGTCAAAACTGATCCCTTTTTTTTTCCCACGGATGTGTTTACTGCTCAGACATCTGGCTAAGTTCAGATTCAGCAAACACTCTTATCGTGGCGACTGAAGTGCTGCTGAAGCGTTGAGGGATCAAAGCTGGTGACATGAAGAGGCTGTGATTGAAAAAATAACGCTGCTGTGTGCACATGTGCTGTTAAAGTGAACTGGCTGGACCTCACCTCAGCCTTTGGCCTTCATGGTCTCCTTATGAGGGACATTTCCTTTTATGAAGTACAGCTACTGCGTGGGTGTTTTATTTTTGCCTCCACGTGTTTGATTCTGAAAGCCTGTTTCCAGTTGAGATTTATGTTTGCCATAAAAGGATGACATTAAATCCCACAGCAGCTGCTATAACTTCACCAAACTGTCAGTTTTGATCATTTCAGTCAAACTAAATAGCAGAAAAGATGGATTTATTTAGTGTTTAGAAGTGCCTCAGTGGAAAAAAAAAACTTGTGATACTGTGATGTCTTGGGAGATGAGATAGAGCTCAGAGCATGTGTTGGGAATGACTCTCAGCTACCACCACACCAAAATTTAGCTAAGTATTTATCAAATTTACTGAGTTGGCCTTTCTGTGATCTCTTAGATTGCTTAGCTGAGGCATTTTCTCAGTGTTTTCATGATGAGCTTGTCCCCACTTCACGCGTTTGCAACAATTCTTAACTACGAAATGGTCTATTGGTGTGGCAGTAGCTCAAACTGATCCTGTACTCTTGTAAGATTTTTGGGTCAAACTTTGACATGACAGGTGTCAGGAGATGTGCACTCCTTTATAAAAATGATTTTATATTGGCAAGAAAAAAAAAATCAGCATTGATGGATCGTTGATTTCCAGGTGGAGCTGAACAGGAAGTATAGACTGCACGACCTCCTGACCCAGCAGAACGTGAGAACCTCCACATACATCAACGCTCGAACCGTGTTCATGAGGCTCATGCTGACGCAGGGTCGGTACGTCATCATCCCCACGACCTTCCAGCCTCAGATACTGGGAGACTTTATGCTGCGAGTTTACACTGACGTCGACTCGGGCTGCAGGTAAGACACTGACCACGCAGGAATAAGTCAACCTGAGGCTTAGTCTGTATATCAGAGGCTGAAAAGTCTTCAGTTATCTTCTCTGCTTTCAGGGAGCTGACGGAGGACAAACCAAAGATAAAATGCTGGAGTTCAATCTTTGGGTACCCACAAGCTGTCACTCATGTCTTTGTGCAAGGAGCTGAGGGGCTGGAAAACCAGGACCGAACAGGAGGTCAGAGAACTTTTCAAAATTAGACCTAACACCTACAAATAACCGTGGTGAATCTCAGTGAATCTTCATGTTATCAGGCGCTGACCCGTATGTGATAATATCTTGCGAGGGACGTTCAGTGATGTCCCCCGTCCAGAACAACACTTTGGAACCACAGTTTGCCACTAGTGGAGTTTTCTACAGGAAGAAGCTCAGAAAACCTGTAACAGTGCAGGTATGAAAGCCAAATCTACGATTACACTGAAAACTTGTCCAACAGTCTTACATTCTTAAATCCATGCAAAAAGTATTTTCAATTTTGTTTTGAGACTGATCTAATAAACCAGAGCAGAATGTGTTGGATTATTAATCTTGTTAACCTTGGATTTTTTTGATTTATTTCAATAAGTCTTACCCATTGCATTGGTGTTATTCTATTGGGAGATTACTTTACTTGAGTCTGAATTATCTCAAATCAAGTGAAATAATCTGCCGATGGAATGAGACAATTACACTTGAGATTTCTTGAAATCTCAGGCTGATAATACAAATTTTCCAGGCTAATAAGATTATTAATCAAACACATTCTGCTCTTTCTTAGTGTATCAGTCTCAAAACAAAATCAAAAACCTTTTTTTTTTTTGGATGGATATAAGAATCTAAGACTTGGTTATGGACAGTGCATTTACTTTAATGTCAGTTGCTGTGTCTATAGTGCTGTTGTCTTCTCTGCTCATTTAAAACAGACTGAAGCAGAGAGGAAAACTGTTCTGTGATCAGACAAATCTAAATGTGTAATTTGAAATTTGTAATTTCCCCAAGTCCTCTTTACTTAAGAGAATGGGGATTATTTAGCTTGTTATCAGTTCACAGTTCAAAAGACTCTGTATGGAGGTCCATTATTGCCTCTTGGCATGGGCAGCTTACACTTCTGGAACCATCAATGCTGAAAAGTGTTTATAATCTGCATACATTATACCTGAGATTTTTACTTTAGAAAACAAATGATCTAATAAGCTATTCTTTGTGTTGACCACGAGGATAATTTTAATCACTTGTTCTTCAGGTGTGGAACAGTAACGCAGTGAAGGATGAGTTCATGGGCCAGGTCCTGCTGTCYGGCTCTCCGGACGACAACTCAAACCCTCAGAAGCTGAAGCTGAGGATGAGCGGGCAGCAGGCRGCTGATGAGATGCCTGGGACCATTAGTCTGAGGATCGTTACCAGGACTCAGCTGACCACCATTTGACCTCCTCTGTGACCGACTTGTGTTAATGGTGCCATCGCTAAAGCACCAAAACCATAGTCTTGTTTTGATTTGTTGTAACTTAAATGTTGGATTACAACAGTGAGATGTACAAAATGCATTTTTGGATAAAGTAAATGTGATTTTTTTTCTTTTTTGCTGTTGGTTCTGTCTTACTTTGTACACCCCCTTTTTAACTTATAAAACATTTTTTACTGGTGATTTTGTAAAAGTATTATTCAATGAAACTATACTGTGAGKTAAACAGCAGTGACCTGATTGTAATTCTGTTTCAGTCCCATGATCGTCCTGATGAATTAAAAAGAAATTGTTAACAATTATGATTTTCCTCCTCTTTTTTTTATTTCAGTCCAGTTTCCAAACTGCAACATTTTTTTACACTCAAGACACAGCCATGCACAATTCAAAGTTCAAAAAGTCTATTGCTTCAACCACAGTTAAAAATAGTTTATCCAAAACCTCATTTCCCCGGATACTCGTTTGTCCTTTTCCAAAGGTGGGGAAGGGCCTGCTGAGGTATGCCAGATGGATCAGCAGTTTTACAAAGCTAGACAATAATAAGAGTAATAATAATAAAGATAATAATTTAAAAAGTAACATTTTTTGTCTTTGTTCCATTCTCTTGATACACATTAATAGAGGAATTTTTCACACCACGTGTACAGGTTTACACATTCAGAAGATAGGAATGTACAGGAGCAACCACAGAAAAAGAGGGGTGGGGGGGAGGGGGCGTCAGCGGTTGTGTCTCTTGTCCCGAAATTCAGCTTTGTGCTCATAGTTCAGACYTGTACGAGGGTCAGGGGCCAAAGTGTCCCAGGGGGCCCCCCGGGCGAAGCTTCCCGACAGGCCGCTTCCAGCTAACCGCACACGCGCTCGCGCACACACCAACACTCAGGACGACAGACTGGACAGACTGTGAGGGCCCAGGAGCAGGGGGCCGGCAAGCCCAAACAGGAGAGGTGGATCCAGGAGTGCAGGGACAGCACATGTGTGTGTGTTAGTGTGTGTGTGTGTGTTGATTTTTTCTCTCTTCTTTTTCCTTTTCCAGGGTGCAAACAGCAGCCTGAAYATTGTCATTTTAAGTTACATAGTTCCGCAAAAAAAGGGGTTTCCTGTCATATTTACATACATACATATYCTAATGATCCCAACCTTGTCGGAAATGAGATACAGAGTATATTTTGTTGCACATGCATGAAATCTGTTGCATCCCTCCTGATWRTTACCATTTCTTCACCGCCTGTTKTAACAGAGGAGGAGTGGAACAAAGYAGCTACCCTGCACCTCAWACTTCAGGTGGAAATCACGACTGAGGCCCCCTCCCACCCCCACAACCAAACGCACAAACACGCCCRCTCATACGGATGGAGAGCTGCGTGAAGAATGCCTGATATCACAAGAAAATGACGACAAAAAAAAAAGATAGCCTCTGAACGGGAATGAGTTTAAACTCTAAACCAGCTATGAAAGGAATGTGAACCTCCGGGGCAYGGCTACAATCATGACTCAGCACTCCTCACTTTGCTCAGAGGATAACATTTCCTCTACAAAGTTGGCCATGTATCCAACGAATCACGACGAAATGTGAAGTTTTTTTTTATGAAAAGCAAATCATTTTAAGACACAAAAGTGAAAACAGAAAATAAACTTAAAGCTTAAACAAGCAGCATTTTAAAACAGGATGAAGAGGAGGTGGGGGGGGGGCGTTGTCGGTCAGCGCCTCGTTAGGTTTTCACCTGAGCAGGTTTTGATCAAACTCTTACTAATCACTTAACATTTTTTTATTAAACTAAATTAAAAGACAAAGGAGACCCCCTCCAGCTAAGAGAATTTTACCAGCTTTTGTTAGAATGTGGGAGAACCGTTCGCTGTGTCGCCTCCATAAGGAGAACCCTTCATTTCCCTTCTATTTAAAAACTCCAAAATCAACAACAAACATACAATTTCAAACCCATCCTGAATAATTTATAGAACKTTGCGAAATGAAACAGAACGTGTGAAGAATCTCTTTTGAAATGATGCAAAAAAACAGCAGCAGTTAATGTGTCCTTGACCTGGATTCATGGCTCTAATCATACAGAGGATTTAATCAAACTATTGATATAAAATGGATTACTGAACTGTGTTAAAGCTGGCATAGGTCGTGTGAAATTCTTCCCCAGTAGTTGCACCCCTACACTTACTCACACACACATAAAACACAGCAAAGACGCGGCACGTTGAGATGCGGACTGGTGGTGTTTGCTGCTCTTTAACCTCCGCTGGCTGCTGCGGCTCCAGGTGTGGTTCTGAGGCAGCTTCATGAAGGGGAGAAGAGGAATGAAAATCAAGCCTGAAAAGCTGGACAGGGAGGAAATCTTTGTTTCTCTGCCTCTCTCCTGAATTAAGGGATTTAAGAATAAGCACCTTTCCTCTTCAATTCAAATTAACCTGTTTGTTTTTTTCTTTTTACAGTTTAGGAAGTGACACACTCCTAAACAGGACATGATGCAAACAAATGTGCACAGTTCATTTACACACACTCACACACACACACACACGCACTCTGACATACTTGTGATAAACTGCTCTACATGTACAGTGCTGGAGAAGTAAACAGGAGGCAAGGTCTTTTTTCAGCAGCATGGCCAAGAGGCTGCAAGGCCAGGTGTCCGTCCTACATATGAGGCTTGGTGGGGAGGGGGTCGTTTGTCCTTGTGCTGTCACTGTAAGTCACACAAGACCCCCTCCTTGAGCTGTCACTGCCACCCCCAACCCCACACRCCCAAACCCCCGTGACGGCGTGAGCCAACGCGTCACGGGCAGGGCTCCAGCTTCGGGCGCGGACAGCGAGCCCACCCTTAACGACTGCTGTTCTTTATGGCTTCCTTAGCAGCTACAATCAGAGGCGTCAGGCTGGACAGAGGCTTCGCCAGCTTGAGGAAGGAATGCTGCRAACAGAAAGGACAATATTCAGAAACATCAAACACAAAACCAAAACGATACGCATCCTATATCATGAGTTGAAATGTGGAGCTCCACAAGGTTYTACTCTAGGTTCTACACTTTTGATATGCATTTTTTTTTAAATACAATGAGTAATATTATCAGGAGACACGGTATTGACCTTTCATAGCTAACTTTGTCTGTCAGCTGACAGATCTCTTTCTTAATTCTGACTTAAGAAACATTTTTATAGTTCAGTAGGGGAAAATGTTTCAGTAACTGAGCTTCAGAGAGAGAAACTTAGAAAAAAAAAAACTCCTCAAATTTCTGATTGAAGTCACATCTTTCTCACAGTTCTACATGTCTTTTGTCATGTTTTTTTATTTTTACTAACATACTCATAGAAAGTGAAAGCAGTGCTATTGCAGGCTAATGTAAAAAACATGTACTATAATTCCTGGTCTCAGTTGTACCTGGAGCAGCTCCTTGGCGGAGCCTCTGCGGTCCACGTCCATCTCCAGACAGCGGTTCAGAAAGTCTCTGAAAATAGACGACAGCCTTTCGGGGTTCTGCAGCTCTGGAGTTCCATTGGTTGCTATCAAATACAGTGCCTGCAAAGACAATCGTGGTCAAACTCGATTTTCCAWTTTCTGACTTTTTAAGCTACATTTTAAACCTAAATCATCCTGATATCAGCAGCGGTTCCAGAGATGATTCCAGTTGATTTGTCTTGGTCTGAATCCTATTTTTAGTGTTTTCTATTGAGGATTTCTCAAAGTTATTTGAAAGAGGGAACATCAAACCATATTTGGATATCAGGATTTCCCAGCTGGTAATGAAAGTAGCTTCAGTTGGCGCACAGAAAGGTGCAAATGTTTTGAGGTTATCAACCCAATATCAGCTTTAGTTGTTAGTACTGCTCAGAAAAGTGATTCAAAAACCCTTTAGGATTATATAAAACCTGACGTTTTACACAAAGCTGAACCGAAACATGCCATCTGCTCGTCTGACCCCAGAACACATGTCCACCATATTTCTGCCCATCTGGGATGAGCTCAGAAAACTTTCTGCTAAGACTGAATTCATGCCAACCTCCTCTCATTGTGAAGATTTAGATGATTTTTCTGGATGACGCAGCAGATTTGTGTTGAGTTAAAATAACTTTCCAAGGTGCTCTTGAGCCCATGTGGCTCAATATAATGATCAGAGCAGATAGGAAGTTTCTTTACAAGAATTTAAAGAGATTTAATGACAACCTTTGTCTGTATAAACCACCAAACCACTAAAGYGTTAAATGCTGTGTGTTGTATCTGCATTTACCCTGAGTGGATTCTCATTAAGGTAAGGAGGTTCTCCCTCCACCATCTCTATCGCCATGATTCCCAGAGACCAGATATCCACTTTCGGGCCATAAGCCTTCCGAGTTACCACCTCTGGCGCCATCCAGTAGGGTGTTCCCACCATCGTGCTGCGCTTGTTCTGCTCTGGAGTGATCTGGGCGCAGAACCCAAAGTCGGCTGCAGAAGCAAAGTTTTTAATATTAGTATTATTTACTGAATGTAACACAAGGTTTCTTAAACAAAACAACTTTTACTCTCTAAGAATTGTGTCCCGATACCAGGACTGATATTGGAACACCSCTATTCTCCAATTAAGACCTCCTGAAATGGCAAAAACACACAAAAAAGAAAGGAAAACCTACTTAGTTTGACAGATCCGTCCATGCCCAGGAGGATGTTGTCACTTTTAATATCTCTGTGGATAACCTGGTTGGAGTGTAGAAAGTCCAAGGCTTGAAGACACTATTAAAACAATGAGAGAAAAAAGTCATTTGAATGATAACTAAAGCTGTAGTGGGAGTTACTGCTGATGCACAAACTTGGCTTCTTACCTCTCTGCAGACTGCAGCGATCTGGCCCTCGTCCATGCAGGTCTCCGTCACCACATCTGTCAACGAGCCTCCAGCCAAATATTCCATCACCACCCACAGCTCGTCTCCTACCAAGTAACTAATTAAAGACAGGGAGAGGAAATGGGAAGATAAAAAGTTGGTTTTGTTGTGGCACGTGTCCAACAATCAACAAGTAAAGCTCCTTTGATGTAAAGTTAACCAAGGTGCACAGAAATGTCATCGAACAAAGTTATGAACAGAGCTGAAAGGACATTATAATGAAACCAGAGCAGAAACACAAGGCGTTTAATGAAAACAGATCTGAATTTTGCTCAATTATATTTTAAGCAGCAGGTGGCAGCACTGCCTCTTAATCTGAGCTCAAACTATAGTTAAAGGGGTAAAGAAAGAAGGGAAAGATGCCAGAAGCAGCAGCAGCAGAAGAAGAAGATGAAAGGGATGGGGAAAAGGAAGCTCAGAGGATTCTTCAATGTCATTACAGCAATGCTTTGATTTGGCTAAAATTAGAGCAAAGTCAGCCACCAGCAAGACTTTCTTCATCCTGCTCAAATAATTTGTTTTAGAACTACAGAAAGAAATGTGAATTTTACATTTTTTTWATTTAACCATTTTACTATTTTGTGCTGTACTCTAATGTTCTGTTATTAGTAAATGTTGCAACTTTTATTGGTCTTTTGTGTTTAGGTAAACATGCATTCTCTGTATTTTTTWAACCAAAGTTTCAAAACAGAAAAACATCAATGATCGCTGTCTTACACACACACAGGTTTATCTTTGTATCCCTGTGGGGACCCTGGATTGACTTCCATTCATTTTCTGGTAATTTTATAGCCTAACCCTGACCATTTACCCTAAAACTAACCTCATATGACCCTAAAACTAACCTAAACTCAATTCACACCTGGGTCCTAAACCTAACCCACAATGCACATCTGTTTCCTTTATCAGGAAAACGGTTCCCACGATGTAGCAAAAATTAATTCAGCAGGTTTCTTGGATCATTCTTAGCTACGATCACACAACACAAAATTTCAGTTCAATATTTCTTAAAACAGCTGAATTAAAGCCATTTGCAATTAGCTGTGGCGGCCATCTTGAATTTTAAAATCTTAATTTGTATATGAACAAAACACCTTGGTCACCCCTGTGCCACACCTTACAAAGAAGTCTAGCTCCGCCCCTGTCCACAGTCATTTTTGATCTGAATGTGTTTCATGTTTATGTGTTTTTGATAATTAAGTTGTAGGCGGAGTCACACAATCACCGAAAATGTCCAAATCTTTTAATTCCATTGACACCTTGTCAGGGTTTATACAGTTGYGTCAGGTGTTCAGTTATTTCTGCAGAAAATGCTCCTGTGTGTGAAAACTGACCTGTCCAGGTAGTTCACTATGTTGGAGTTTTTGTTTTCCCTCATCACCAAGATCTCATTGATGATCAACTCTTTCTTSGGCTGCTGCTGCAGGTTCATCTGTTTGATGGCCACCTAAAAAAGAAACCCAAAATAAATATTTGAGGCTCGGAACAACATAATTTGAAAACAAATTTTAATTATCATACAGAGAATGAGAAAATATTCAAATCAAAGGAAAAATGGGGTTTTACCTCTTGACCAGTCGCAATGTCGATGGCAGTGTAGACGGTGCCAGACGCTCTGATGAAACAAAACATGAAAACACGTAAGTAATGTGTCATGTTACAGGGGCAGTTCAGATGTTTTTGAAGCGGGGTCTTTGAAACCTGAATTGAACGGCTAATCGCTCTAATAAAACCAAAGTATGTTGCTGTCATCTTAAAAYAAATCCAATATCAAAAATATCAAAACATTTGATGCAAATGCTGTTTTTAATCCTTTATGCTGACGTCAGTTTCATGTTACAGTTTTCCCAGCGAMCACGTTGCGATGTTTCTGCAGAAAGTGCAGCARGCACTAAAAATGCTACAGCTAGCTCAGGGGCTGTATCCTACAAGTTTTACATGTTTCCCTTCAACACATCTGATTTAGTGATTGAATTCCCTTCTTTAAGTTCTGCAGAATTCCCTGTTCATTCAAAYCAGGTGARTTGGAACAGAGAAATCTCTAAAACATGCAGATKTAAGGGTCATACGTTGCAAGTTTATTTCACTCGGGGTGACCACTACACAGGWCAGTGGCCTTCGAAGACCAGGATTGGACACCCCTGAGCTAGCTGCTGCTGCTGTTTAGTTGCACCTGYAAAMACCTACAAAATYCTAYGTAGATAATGATGTAACAYAATAAAACTGATGGCAATGTTAAGGTTTAACATAAATTATTGTGTGATTTCTGAGATTTTAAACATTTTAAGACAATAGATTGTCCATGTAGTCCAAATTGAGGTCATTCAGAGCTATCTACAACAGGTAAGACATTAATTGTTCATATTATCACATTGCAAAATTTGAACTATAGCTTCAAGAGATAATAAGTAACATATGAAAATAAAAATCATTACATCAGTTTAGTAGTTAAGCTTTCTTTTTATACCGTTGCTTTTTGATGTCAATAAAGATTGAGATTATATGAATTATTTACAGAAAATACTAAGTTACTGCAAAATATCACAATCGTAAATTGAACAAAATGTATAGACAGTTTAAGTTTGTCTCAATTTGATCCACTTATTTTTATCTCTTGAAGTCTTGTGACTTGTCATAATAAAATCTACTGTGATAAAAGTAGACCGTTCAGTTTAAAAGACTTAAACTATGACTCTGTACAGCTGGACTATTTCAACATGATGACATCAAGAGGATCTCTGACTGCAGATTAAAACAGAAGAGAAGGTTTAAAAAAAATTAACTAAATTACTTTAGTACTTATGAGAACAACAGCTGGCCAGATGAATTCTGTGAATCCAGTCTTTTTTTTGCAGGTGTGGATATAAAAATAATAATAATAATAATAATAAAACAGCTTCCATTATAGATTTAAGCCTCTGCCTCTTCCTCTTTCCTCTGTCACGAGCTATAAATAATGAAGCAGAGTTCCTGGTAGCAGTAAATTCCTGATAACCCAGCAGAGAGTAAATATAAAGTTATCCTCTGTTCCAAGCTGAGGCTTCCTGATCCAATATGGAAACAGTGAGCATGTCGGAGCGGATGAAAACCACAGAACGTTTATCTTCACGTGTCAGGAAAAGGCACAAAAAAAGACCTTTAAAGAAATATTCATCGAGGTCAAGGGAGAGAGRTGGTTGAGCTAATACGTCTCTGGGCTTTTTTGGGATACAGTTCTCATTTCCTGTCTCTAAAGTTTGCTCTCAGGTATTCGATCGTAATGCTGTCTTTTTTTTTTTTTAACTTCAGCTGCCCAGCAGACATGAACTGTTCTTTATGTTGGCCTGTTAGCTGCTGATCACACTTACCCTTGTCCTATTTTCTCGAAGCGCGTGTACTTCTTTTTGGGATCCCCCACACTCACAATACTCCCTGAGTCAGAGAAAACAGATACATAATAAATGTTCTTTGCTGTATGAGCCGCTCTATCTCAGCATGTTCTCAATTTACATTCCAGTAATTTGGGTTGAGTCACACTCCAGGGAAGGGAGAGGTCTGGAGAAGACCAGAAATTATTGAAAAAGTGCTTTTTTTTGTTGTAATGAACACACTGATGCTCCCTGTTCTTTTGCAAAACTCCTTGAGTATACAGAAATGTGAAATATGTTTTTTTAACCAGAGCTTATTGAATAATTCTGATTATGTAAAGTGGAAYGTAAGCTCAGGACAAAAACCTGTTATCAGTAGAAAAAAAGTGAATTTAACATTAATTGTCTGATWAATCTATAAAGTATAGTGATGGAAGTGAAAGTATAAAAAACTAAAATTTGAAAAAAGAATATGTATTGGGACACGTACTGAGTCTCTCCAAAATCTCCTCATCCGTCATTTTGGACTTTTTCCTCTGCCGGTCAGTGTGGCGATACATTGTGTTGGACAGATTCTCAGGCTGGACCTGCGACTCGGGTGGAGTCACCACTTCCTTCACCGGAGAGGGGGGCTTTGGTGGATCCATAACGGAGCGCGTGTAGATCTGCGTCAGGAGGTGGGGGAGGGTCAAAACGTGATGCTGCGACAACTTTTCAACGGTTTCGCCGACCGCGAACTCACAGATTTGGTGTGCTCGGGTCGAGGGGCGATGACCGGAGGCAGCTCGTCGTCGTCGTCCTCATTTTCCTCCTCCTCCTCTTCTTCTTCATCCTCCTCATCCTCCTCCTCTGACACAGGCGGAGCGATCGGGGGTTCTGTTGTTGAGGTTTTGGCACCCTGCATGGTGGAGATTTCAATGAAATTGCGTAAATGAGAAGAGAATGTTTAGATACTAAAACTCTTCTACTAATCAAACAGTTTGATCATTGGGTTTAAAAAGCTTTAAACCCCAAACCAGCAGTGTGCAATTGTTAGTCTTGGCCAGCAGAGGTTAAAGGAAAGGTTCAGATGTTTGGAAGTGGGGTCATGTGAAAAGTTATGAGCAATAAATATCTCACCTGTTGTGGATAGCTGTTTTAACCACTGCAGTTTGTAGGAAATGAGTTTAATTCTGACTGAATTGACTGGCTAATGGCTAGTCAGAGTGAGGCCAGAATAAAAATGGTTTGCTGCCATCCTAAAACAACTCCAATCTTAAAGTTTATAGCGGTTTATACTAATGCAATTAACCTTTTTTCTGGGTACTGGTTATTCCAAGTAGGGGTCTCTGCAGAACATGTTGTCCTGTGGGCGGAGACGGCCCAAATCGTGATTGGAGGAGGTCTTAATGTGGGCGGAGACGGCCCAAATCGTGATTGGAGGAGGTCTTAATGTGGGCGGAGACGGCCCAAATCGTGATTGGAGGAGGTCTTAATGTGCGCGGAGCTGGCCCAAATCGTGATTGGAGGAGGTCTTAATGAGGGCGGAGACGGCCCAAGAGACGTGATTGGTCAGATTGACGGTGGGGTTTGAGGGGGCTGGATTCAGCGGGGAGTAGCTTGGTCGAGTCGGGCAGGAAGTAACATTTTTTAAGACGAATTTTAGTCATAACTTGGGAAAGCAAATTCCTAGCTGCTCGAAATGTGAACATCATACATGTGAAGCGATGTGTAACATTATGGCTCGGTTAAAACATCCCTAACCAGCCTGTAAAAATATAGATTTTTTTTGCAATCTTTTTACAGGCTGTTTAGGACAATGTGTTCTGCAGAGACCCCTTTCTTGGTTATTCTGGCAAAAATATTAAATTTTGGCAGGACATGCCAAATCTTATTCTATAGCAGAAAATTAGAATTCAGAATTAAACTAATTTTTTTCCAAACTGACTTCAAATAGCTATCCATACCATGTAAGATATTAACAATTCATACATCTTTCTACCATCTTTAGTATTTTCAATTTCTTTTTTTCTTCATAAAAAAGGTTATTTAAACGAAACACACAACAAATTCAAATGACTTCAAACTCAAGTGTTCATCATACTGCAAAAAAATTTTTTTTTTCAAAAGTAAAGATAAAATGTGATGTTATTTTGTAAAAAAAAACTGGTAGTTAATAATCAGGTAGAGTTTCGTTAATAGCAAAGGAAAGCTTTATGAGTCGAGTGAAGGCCAAGGAGATAGAAGTGAGTTTGCATTCAGTGCAGYTTATCTGAGGGAGTTTGAGATGTGGGGGGTCAGGGAAGAGCACCATGAACCAGACATGAGAATGAATTTTTAAGCAAAGTGTTTCATTTTTAACTGCGCTATAGGAGATAATATACTGCAACAATATAGTGTGCAGTATTTCTAGAAACTGCAGACATCCTGTTGATCCAGAGGGTACCATTTATTAGGTCTGATTAACAAGCCACCAGCCTGTAATATGTTAAATGAGCCACCCTTTATTCCTCAAAMAAGAACTTTGCTTGCCTTGGATCATCTCCCTCTTATGGGATGGAAACACTTCATCCTCTTGTGTCATGCATAAATGAAGCAGTGCAGCTTAGTTCTGGTGTACTTCACTCATACCGGGCCTCTCAGACTTGCTTTAGGGAAGACTGGGCCAAGGCTGCAGTGCAGAAAGTGCCTGTGCAGGTTTTTTTTTTTCCTAAGCGTCATGCATTGATGTCTAAAATGGTGATGGAGCTACAGGAACATTATTGGCAGCATKGATCAAATCAGTATAAGTATGAACTGAAGCATGCAGATTAGCAGTCATCATGACGCTCTATGGCACGTGTCCTGACATTTCAGTCATGTTCAATAAAAAAGCTATTTCTTAGTATAATAAATTTATAAGATCCAAATCTAATCCAGCCAATCAACCCCCCATGAAATATCTACACAAAGAGCGGTGATGCCTCTGTAAATCAAATATTTTCATTATGCAGTTATCAGAAATTGGTGATCAGATAGCTGAATTTAGCTTTAGGCCGATGCAGAGATACATCATGTGGAAAGTAATATGGAGGAGTTACCTTGTCAAATAATGCGCTGCAGGTTCTAAGGCTGACAGGAGGCCCAGAAGACAGCAGTCGGTTCTGAATGTGAAGGTTGAAAATGGGAGGATTTACTCAAAACAAACCCACAAAGTGTGTAAGACTGAATTTCAGAGGAGGGTGAGGGGTGGGGCAGGGGGGAGCAACTGAGAAGGTGGACACTTTGTCCTTACATTAGACGAGTTAGATCATACTCCCTGATGACGGTACGCCTCACAGCCCGTGTCTTCAGATGTTTGGTATAAAACATCTAACATTTATTTTAAAGCTGCAGTGAAGACAGTMACTTGATTCTTGATTCATGTTGACACAATTAAACTGTTATTGTCTCCTCTCCTCCTGCTGTCTTCATTCTGCTGTTTGGTGAACAACTTTCACATTTTGCAACACACCTGAGATTACTCAGTATTTATACACTGTGCAAACTACTGCAATCACGTCAACAAGTTGTATTTTTTTTTACTCCTTTTTCACCCCACTGTCTTAGTAATGATTATTTTCAAACAAGGAAAAAAAATAGATTCACTTTCGAAGAAAGAGAATTGCTTTTTATAAAATAAACAATTGGCTGCTCTCAATGATACTTTAACTGTTTAATGTCATTTATTGTAAAATATTTCACATTCAAAGTCATAATGTGATGCTATGTAAAGGATAAATTAGGAACAAGAGAACTCTCTTTCTGCACCTAAGAACAAAATAAAGTGACAGCTCAGATCTAAGGAAGTGGCGCCCAATGGAACGATTATGAACAATTAATATCTTACCTGTTGTAGACAATTGTTGGAAAAAATTTCACCTGGGAGAATTAGAGTTCAAGTACAAATAGTGGCTGCAGCAGCTAACTGTAGCACTTCTTGCAGGAATGTCATTTTATTTCTGCTAGAATAATAATGAGGAACTCATGGAAATGTAGAGGATCATAAGTGCTTACTTTAACTTTRAGATGACTGCAATCCAACTTGTTCTACTACATTTTTTTCAAAGAGCTGCATCAGGTAAGATATTAATAGTCCATAATCAAAAATATCACCTTTGAGACTATCTTGAGACTGAAAATGTTGGACTTTTATTCCCAAGAGTTCTGTTAAAAAACATGATGACAATTCATTGAAAAATGCAACAACAAAAAAGAAAAACATTTCTAAACAATAATTTTTCTATTGTGACTTGTAGTTATGCAGTGAATAGTTAGATAATAATGTTGATACTTCGACTCTAAAACTAAGTACATAATCAACTTTATAGTTTGCTGATCTTTTGTTGGCCAAATAGCTCAAGCTGGTTAAAACTGCCTGCAGTGCTTCTGTTGAGACTATCAAAGAGTCGCGCTAATTGTGATTTTTTAATGTATTACTGTGAACATGAGTGAGAAAATATTAAGTGCATTATGTTAAATTAAACCTACACACTGCTTATTGTTGAAAAATGATCAAATAAAACTTTACTGATAACCTTACTGATAAAAGCAAAACCACAACAAAGAAGCTAGGTTGTTAATCMATAAAAATAAGCACCAAAAGGAAGAATTTTGACTCATCTTTTATGTTTAAGTTGCCAATAAAACGCACAAAGGTTGACTAAAACCTTTCATGTTGCTTTACAAATGACAAAATACTAAAAGCTTGTTTTTAGTTTCTGTGACCGGATCCAGAACTTGGATTAGAACACAAACAAATAAACTCTGCAGCAAATATCCACGTTCCTGATATGTGACGAGATGAGGCTTTTTTTATCTTTGAAACACTGAAAAGCTCTGAGGTCATAAAACATTTCAAAATCTTTAAAAATCACAACTGAACCTCAGCTTTAACCTCAAAATACACCAGCATGCAAACATTCACATGTACCACAGTCATTTAAAATAATCTGTCAGAGATTATCAGGAATGTGATTTATGTTTTCTTTAGAACGCAGAATCTTACTTTAGACCGATTCTTGGCATTCCTTCTATTATTGTTAGCTCAGGATCTCAGAATGACTTGAAGCCAACAGCTGAGTCACGTCTGCATGCTACCGAACACCGCCTGAGATGCTTCTGACTGTCTGTACTGGAATAGCACAACCTCTCCGGCTGACTGCCACGCCCTTCTACACTTCACTGGCACCGAGCCCTTTTAAAGCAGCGTCCCCGCATGAAGAGAGATCCCAGTGGAGTTGCCCTGGGGGCCGCATTCTACTTTCTCCTTCACCCAGCGTGCAAAGGCTGAGACACTCAAAGAACTGAGGACAGCCCAGCAGGAGTCTTTCTGGATACAGCTGAGCCTCCAGTGATGACATCTCATGAGCATTTTAAAAGCTAGTAAAAACAGACGGGGGGAAAAAACAAACAAAAAACCACTCTTTTTCTCTTTGTTGTTGTTATTTCTGTGAATGAGTCTCAAAACTGTTTGGTGTGCAGAAAAAAAAATGGATTTGGTTCAATTGAAGAAGATTTGAAACAGGATGCACCTGAAAGTGTCTATTGCAGAGATAAGCATCTTTGGTAGGAAAATGAGAATACCAAGAAATAAACTCATTGTTGCAACTTACCTGTTAAATAAATGCTCTTTTCTTATTAGAATTGCTTGACAGTTTTAGAAAGCAATGGAATAATTAAAAACCCTGCACTCAGAGTGAATTTAGGTAAGGATTGAACATAAAAGCAACATTTTAGAAATGAGAATTTTATTTCTAGCATGTACCTATGACAGGTTTAATATAATAA